AGGCAAGGCCAGATGTGTGACAGCCCTGCCTGGGGCCCCGGTGTGGCCACATGCAGGGTTGGCCCCAGACACATTGTGACTGGCAGACCGTGAATCTCGGGTGCCCGCCTCCGGGTGGGGGCAGGATGGGGACGGTAGACAGGGTCTCAGGTCAGGCGTGCGTTTGTTTTGTTTTAATGTTGAATTTATTTATTTGGCTGCACTGGGTCTTAGTGGCGGCACAAAAGGTCTTTTATTATTTATTTATTCTTGGTTCCACTGGGTCTTCGTTGCTGTGAGCGGCCTTTCTCTGGCTGCAGTGGATGGGGGCTGCTCTTTGTTGCGGTGCACAGGCTGCTCACTGCAGTGACGTCACTAGTTGCCGCACACAGGTTCAGGAGCTGCGCGTGGCCTTCGTTGCTCCACGACATGTGGGACCTTCCCGGACCGGGGATGGAACCCGTGTCCCCTGCACTGATGGGCAGATTCCCAACCACTGAACCAGACAGGGATCAAACCCATGTCCCCTGCACTGGCAGGCGGGTTCTTATCCACTGGACACCAGGGAAGCCCACGGGGATCTTTAGTTGCAGCATGTGGGATCTAGTTCCCTGGGCTGGGACCGCACCCACCCCCTTGCCTTGGATGCAAAGAGTCTCAGCCACGGCAACAGCGGGGAGTCAAGGGCCAGGCACTGTGGATCGCGCAAATGTGGTTAGACGATCCAGGAGGCATGTGGGAAGAGTCTGGGTCAGTGGAGCCCTTACTGTTGTGATTTTCTTCCTTTTAACTCAGTGGAGGAAGAGGGTGGCTTTAGAGGAAGCTGGGTGGGCAATTCGGGAACTCAGTCTACCATCTTCGCAGTTTTTCTGTGAACCTAAAACTTTCATAATAAAAACAGAGGTTAACAGCAACAACAGTGGGAATTGCCTGGCAGCCCAGTGGTTAGAACTCGGTGCTTCAAATGCCGGGGAACTAAGATCCCACATGCCTCACAACACCAGCAGTAACAGCAAAGCCAGAGGCCAATGTAAAGGTGACTTGGGGGGCCTGCTCCCTGAGTGGGGTGTCAGGGAGGCCCCTCCAGGGTGGATGCGGAGGGGGAGCAGTCTCAGGCAGCCCCCTGGGGTAGGGGGAGCACAAACTTGGGGTGCTTTGGGGTCGGATGTCTGGAGGGAGTGAGGAGTGGGGTGCGCGGAGGGCAGGGAGGCCCCTGTGAAGGTGTGAGCGGTAGGGCACCTCCCACCCTCCGCCTCTGGAGTGGGCTCTGCTCTCACAGTGGGGGAGCCTGGTCTTGGACCCCAGGCTGTCCGACCCTCGGGCCAGAAGCCAGGGGGCACCTGAGAGGCACAGCTCCTCCGTGCCAGCAGGTCTTGTCCAGGCGTCACCACCCTTGCCATGCTGCCTTCCGCCAAAACCCACGAGAACGGGGCGAGGGGAAGGGCAGGCCCAAGCCTCCTCAGGGCATCAGGGGTTGTGTCAGTGTCCTGAAAGGTTCTTGCATGGCCGGCCTCCAAGTGGAGCTGTCGCCTGGGTCGTGGAAGTCTGCTCCCGAGCGTGGGAACCGAAATTCGGGAACTCAGTCTACCATCTTCGCAGTTTTTCTGTGAACCTAAAACTTTCATAATAAAAACAGAGGTTAACAGCAACAACAGTGGGAATTCCCTGGCAGCCCAGTGGTTAGAACTCGGTGCTTCAAATGCCGGGGAACTAAGATCCCACATGCCTCACAACACCAGCAGTAACAGCAAAGCCAGAGGCCAATGTAAAGGTGACTTGGGGGGCCTGCTCCCTGAGTGGGGTGTCAGGGAGGCCCCTCCAGGGTGGATGCGGAGGGGGAGCAGTCTCAGGCAGCCCCCTGGGGTAGGGGGAGCACAAACTTGGGGTGCTTTGGGGTCGGATGTCTGGAGGGAGTGAGGAGTGGGGTGCGCGGAGGGCAGGGAGGCCCCTGTGAAGGCCTACTCCACCTCTGGAGTGGGCTCTGCTCTCACAGTGGGGGAGCCTGGTCTTGGACCCCAGGCTGTCCGACCCTCGGGCCAGAAGCCAGGGGGCACCTGAGAGGCACAGCTCCTCCGTGCCAGCAGGTCTTGTCCAGGCGTCACCACCCCTGCCATGCTGCCTTCCGCCAAAACCCACGAGAACGGGGCGAGGGGAAGGGCAGGCCCAAGCCTCCTCAGGGCATCAGGGGTTGTGTCAGTGTCCTGAAAGGTTCTTGCATGGCCGGCCTCCAAGTGGAGCTGTCGCCTGGGTCGTGGAAGTCTGCTCCCGAGCGTGGGAACCGTGGTGTTCATTCATCCATTCGGTTATTCACTCATGAGCTCTTGTGCTCCTTTGCTCCACCAGCAGGTGCTGCTGAGTGTTAGACCCTGGCTTGGATGCTGGGTTTATGGTGAGGTTGGGGGTAGGGTGGGAAGTGTCTTCCAGAGCCTCTGGGCAGAGGGATGCAGGAGGGACGGGGTTTATGGTGAGGTTGGGGGTGGGGTGGGCAGTGCCTCCCAGAGCCTCTGGGCAGAGGGATGCGGGAGGGACTGGGTTTGACGGGGGAGAGGCCTGAGGTCTGTGCCCAGCATTGGTCAGATGCTGCCCCATGGTGTCACTCTCTTGTCCTCCTTGGGCACCCTTGGAGGCATCAGGTCCATGGGTGGAGCCCAGGCTGGCACCTCCTCACGCCAGGGTCTACTTACTCCTGGGGTTTCCTGGCCAGGCATGGGACAGCAGTCAGCCCCTGCCAAAGTTAAGGGGCCCTTAAGACCACCTTCACGTCTGACACCAGCTGCAGAAATTGAGGGATCCCAATACTATACTAGGACTTCCCTGGTGGCCCAGATCGTAAAGAACCTGCCTGCAATTTAGGAGACCTGGGTTCCATCCCTGGGTCAGGAGGATCTCTTGGAGAAGGAAATGGCAACCCAGTCCAGTATCCTTGCTTGGAGAATCCCATGGACAGAAGAGTCTGGCAGGCTGCAGGCCATGGAGTCACAGAGTCAGACACGACTGAGCGACTGGAAAAACAAAAAAGAAAAAACTACAGTCAGCTCAGCGGTTCACTGGAAGGACTCAGAAGTCACTGCAGACCTTCATACTCACGGTCATGGTCTATTTCCTAGAAGTTCTGTCTGTCCATTTGTCTTTATTTCCGGCTGCACCGGGTCTGTTGCTGTGCACGGGCTTTCTCGGGTTGTGGCGAGCGGGGGCCCCTTTCTAGTTGTGGTGCCTGGGCTTTCTGTTGGGGGGCTTCTCTTCTCGCAGATCACGAGCTCTGGAGCGCAGCGCACGGCCTTAGTTGCCCCGTGCCATGTGGGACCTTCCCGGACCAGGGATCCAACCCGTGTCTTTTGCATCGGCAGCTGGATTCTTTAGCTACTGGACCGTCAGCGGTGCCCTCGGTCATGCTGTGTTACAGGGAAAGGATGCAGGTCCCAGTTGGAACGGGGCAGTGGCCAGGAGACTTCCAGAGAGAGCTGGAGGACTGCCTTCCCCATGGAGTCGCGTGGACAGTGCTTGCTTCTCCCAGCACCAGTGTGTGGTGACATGCCTGGGGGCTGGCAGCTATGGGTCTCCCCAAGCCTTGGTGTCCAGGGTTTTTCCTGGGGTTCACCATACAGACGCAGCCCCAGCAGAGGAAGAGCTGCGAACCTCAGTGGCCTGAGCCCCACACCCTGGCCCACACTGTTAGCAGAGATACCCAGTGTGGTCTGGGGCCCCAGGCAAACAAATACACTTTTATGTGGCAGGACTTTCACTTCCCAGGAACTGGGAGCAAAGGTCAAACAGCCCTGGGCCAGGTTAACTCTTTAAAGTGAAAGTGATAGTCGCTCAGTCTTGTCCAACTCTTTGTGACCCTGTGGACTGTAGCCCACTAGGCTCCTCTGTCCGTGGGATTCTCCAGGCAAGGATACTGGAGTGGGTAGCCATTCCCTTCTCCAGGGGCTCTTCCCGACTCAGGTCCAACCCAGGGATCAAACCCAGGTCTCCTGTGCTGCAGGCATCCTTTACCAACTGAGCCACCTGGGGCGGCCTGTCTGCGCGGCTCCACTTACAACCGAGGATGAGCACAGGGCTTCCCCAGAGGAGAGGGGCCCCACGCTGGGTCCACTCCAGAGGCTGTACCACCAAGCCTGACGTTCCCGTGATAAAGCGGATGGGGTTTGGGGGCCCCTGTGGGAAGGAGAGGCTCCGGCCGAGATGGCTGGGAGGGCCAGCGTTATCGCAGACACACAGCCGTGAGCAGCACGTTCCCCTTCTCGGCTCCCTCGGCCCGGAAGGTGTGATGCGAGCACTTCCTGTGTTGCACGCCTGGCGTTCACACGTGCACACACACTCAGTCTGAACAGCCCGCTCTTTGCGAGCGGAAACTGAGGCTCAGGAGGGGGCTGTCGGCCTCCAGGGCCGGGTGGTCCTCAAGAGGTGGGCATAATGTGGGTTCCCGCCCTGTGGCTCAGACCCAAGAGGGGCCTGGGGGGCGGGTCTTGGGTCCAAGGACACCCGAGCCCACCCTGCTTGGCCTCACCTGACCCCTCCGGACCAGGGGCTGGCCTGTTTCATCCTGAGTGACCTGGGGCCCTGGGGAGGAGGGACCCAGGGTGTTCACGGCGAACATCTCCAGTGTTTGGAGTCAGGGTCTGGGTCCAGCGGAGGCCTGAGAGCCACCCGTGGCGGAATGGAGCAGGGTCAGGCTTCCTCTCAGCCCCGCCGCCCTTCACAGGAAACAGCTGTTTACCTGGGTGAGGTGCTCGGCTGGGCCAGCAGCCAGTTCCTGAGCTTCGCTTCCCCCTCCGGTGTCCAAGGCCCCCCAGGAAGCCGGGGCTGGCGTGGGAGAGTGGGGCGGCGTGGGCGGCCAGGGAGCGGCGCGCTGCCAGGAGCTGTTTGCAAGGGAACGTGAGCCGCTCTTGTTGTGTACACAGTGTCGACCCTAGCAACCGTCCCAGCCAGCCGTGGTGGACGCTCACCCCTCCCCTGGTGCCCGGCAGCCGCCCCTGTCACGGTACTGCATCCCAGGGCAGATTGATGGGCCTCGGGGACCTGCCCGGAGGCCACCGGTGGTGTCAGCCGGGTCAGGAGCATCTGCTATTCCTGGCGAAGTGGAATCGAGGCTCTGGCGAGGGAAGGCCAGGTCCCAGCCCTGCTCAGAAGCAGCTGTGACCGGTCAGGGAGCCCCAGGCTCTCGATTCTGAGTCCTGGCCCAGGGGGACAAATCCACGTGTGAGTGAATGGCGGAGGACCGTGCAGGGATGTGGCCAGCCCGCAGGAAGGCTCTCCAGTGGGTGAGACTGGCGGGACAGGCAGAGGGGGCCTGGGGGCTTGGGCTGGACTCCTTAGAACTCAGGCAGGATCTGGCAGGCCGGCTCATGCTGTACTTTGAAAAGCCAGCGCTGCACTTCAGAGCCGGCCCCTCTGATTCAGACCAGTGGAAAGACAATTTCTGCCGTGTCCGGGCGTAAATTCGCAGCCTCTGGCCCGCGCCCCAGGAACACAGCCTTTGGCGTGATAAGAAATGGCTCCCCCGGGTGGGTGAGGGGCCTCTTGCACAGGCTTCCAGCCTCCAGGTCCACTTGATACTCTTGCTTATTCACCAGTTGTTCAGAGCAGCCAGTGAGGCTCCCTCCAGTTCACGGAGGCAGCACCCTCCCGGATGGGGAGGCGAGTTTCCCTGCCTGGGGTGGGCCATCTGAGGCATCTTGGGTCTCTGACTCTGCTGGTTCCTGGCTCCTTTGAGAATCTTGAGTCACGGGATCCCCACATCCTCTGTGCCTGGTGTCACGCATAGGGCCCTCGGGAAAGGCGCTCCTCGGGGTGTGCTCAGGGGATGTCTTCCCCTTCCTCCCACTATAGCTGTCAGCCTCTCTGTTGCAGCTCCAGCTCCAGAAGTCCCAGTACCTGCAGCTGGGCCCAAGCCGTGGCCAGTACTACGGCGGGTCCCTGCCCAACGTGAACCAGATTGGGAGCGGCACCGTGGATCTGCCCTTCCAGGTGAGTCCCCATGCCTCCCCCACGCCACCTCCCACCTGGAGCGTGTTGCAGGCCGGGCCCCACCCTGCCCCAGAGCGAGAGTGCCTGTATGCAAGCCTGTGAACGTCGGGGATCACCAGGCAATTGCTGCCACCTGTCCCTCTGCCACACACCCCCCCCGCCCCGCCCACTCCTTCCCCTGGGATGGCCTGGCCAGGCCTCACCCGGATCCCCCCTGCCCGTCCCCTGTCAGCAGACCCCGCAGCAAGGCCAAGGTCTGGCGGTGAGCATTTCGGCAGCCGCTACACCTGTTGGCCGGCTGTGCGGCGCCGGGAACCGCTCAGGGCCTCTGGGGCTTGGCTCCGTCCCGCTTCACTAATCCGCACGCCCAGCAATTCTCAGAAGGAGGCCCCGCGGCCTGACCCCACTTGTCTGCAAACGTTTCTTGGCAGAGACGTACACAGCGCGGCTCCTGCAGGCTGCGTAGCTGCCGCGCACATCCTTATCATAAATAAGAAGAGATAAGGCCCACCGCCCGCCTCTCCCCCACCCCCGGGCCCCGTCCCTCGACCCTGGTCTGCAGTGGAAGTGGGGGCATGGTGGGCCCAGGAGCTGGCCGAGAGCTGCCTGCCCCCCTCGCCCCCCAGCATGGTGTCTGGGCTTTGCAGCGACAGGGCCACTGAGCAGCCGCACACCTGTCCTGCGGCTGGGACAGAGCCCCAGAAACAGCCACGTCCGTGTGCGCGCCGACAGGCCAGGTGGAGCTGTGTCAGCCCCGCAGGGAGCTCAGTCCTGTTCGTTTCCCAGCTGTGCTCCTCCCATGCCGCTGCGGGGATGTGGTGGGGCCCCGGATCCCACAGGCTGGCTCAGCTCTGAGTCCCCAGGGCCGCCTCCGATGGCCTCCACGTCAGAGCACAGGCACCAGGCCGTCTTGCTCCTCTCGAGTCAGGGCCCCTCCTCGTTGGGTTTTCTCCCCTCCTCTCCCCTTCCTTCCTCAAGGAGTGTGTCTCTCTGGGCACCCCCAAGCTCGGCCCAGTCTGGGGCTACCGTAGGGCCCCCAAGGGCCAAGGGGGGCCTCTTGGGTTTCCCACTGGGGGACCAGGCGAGGCAGGAGTGTCTCAAAGTCTCGGTTCTTTGCATTTTCAGCCCAGCGGATTTCTGGGGGAGGCTCTGGCAGCGGCTCCTGTCTCTCTGGTAAATGAGCCCCTGGGCTGAGGTCTCGGCATCCCCGGCACGTGCGCGGGCGCTAGGTACTCCTGTGCGGCCGCCCCTGTGGCCCCTTGGGAGGTGTCCCCTCTGCCAGTGGAAGCAGATCCGCCCAGCACCCCCTGGTCTGGGGAGGTGCGTGTGGGCACGTCCAGAGACCCCCGCCCTGGGGATCCGAGCATGCACGCCAACGCTGCATGGGTTCGTTCCTGTGACACACACACACCCGTGTGCGCAGGCCCTGGACTTGGCCTGGCGAGCAGGGCTGTGGCTGGTCTGAGCTGCTCTCTGCCTCTGGCTCTGCTTCAGCTGCCTCAGTTTCCCCTCTGGGCTTCCAGACATCTCTGGGAGGAGATGAACGGCCTGTGCCCTCTGGTCCCCATGCCTGGATGGTGAGGTCGCTGCCGTCTCCCGGGCCTGCAGCCTTTTGGAGGCAGAAGCACATAAAGACCCAAGCTGGCAGGGTCCTTGCTTCCTCTCTGGGTCCAAGAAAGATGGGTCCCCGGGCACCAGGGAGAGCAGTCAGCCCCGAGTGCTAGCTGAGGTGTTCGAACAGGTGGGGCAGAGCGATGAGGCCGCCAGGAGCAGGCTTCCCGAGGAAATTGCTTTTCGCCTGGCTGTGCAGAGAAGAGAGAAGGGCCCAGGGGCCAGATGGCTGGGTAGGGGAGCATCCAGAGCTAGGCTAAGGCTGCCAGTCTTGCCCCCATCAGATGGTGTGGAGGCCCCGTGGCGCCAGGGCAGGCGGAGAGCAGGCTCCTGGGGACCTCCGGGGCGGGAGCAGGGTCTGACCGGGGGCCTCATGCCAGCCCCAGGTTCTGGAACGGAGCCCTGTCCGGCCAAGCTGTGGGCCAGGGCTCCGGAAAGCACGCCTGCACTTGGCTCCCAGTGGAGCTGGGACAAGGCCGTGGGGGAGGGTGCGCGGGGGTCGAGTCTCAATCAAGACCAGCCCCAGGCTTGCCGAGGAGCCTCCGGGGAGCCAGTACTTGGCCAGGTGGGCCCCTGACGTCCTGGGCTGGAAGCCCTGGGGCTGTCTCTTGGCAGGCCCCTCCAGGGATGACGTAGGTGGGGAGAGGAGGTCGGCCAGGCCCGGAGAGAGAGGGCGGAGGCCCGCCTGCACCTGGCGAGGCTGGAGGGGGGCCCTCTGCACCCTGGCACCCCAGCCGGCACCAGGCCCCGAGCTTGCGCCGCTCTGCCTGGCCCGTGCATGCCGGCTGCACTGCACGCCTGCCACCCCGGTGCCTGGGACCCCCGGCTCGCCGCCCCCCCCCCACAGTGCTCGGAGGCTAGGGGCAGGGGCCCCAGAGGAAAGGAGGCCCATCTGGAATAGCCGAGGGTGTCTCCAGAGCCGGGCAAGGGGGCGCTGTCAGGGGGACCTTGAGGTCAGATTCTGGGGGTCAGATCTCAGATCGCAGCGGATAACCGTGGTGTGGGCTCCTCTCTCTCTTGTTCCGCCTCTTCCTCTCCTCCCTCCCAGAAGACACAGGGTTTGCCTTTGCACCTTGGCCAAGCAGGGAAGACTGTCAGGAATCCCCCCATCCAACCCCCCACCGACTTGGCTGCCCCTTGGTGCTTCGCCAGCCAGCCTCCCCCGCCCCCAGCATCTGAGTGGCTGCTCCTGGGAAGCCCAGCTCTCGAGCACAGAGAAGGCTGTTCTTTCCTGCCTCTTGTTTCCATGGGCTGGGGGAGCCTGAGCAGCTGGGCCCCAGACCAAGCTCTCGGGGCCCCGGGAGCCACCCCGTCAGCCCAGAATTAAGAGTCAAGGCCGGGGTCAGCTGAACTAGACTCCCTGCAGCCCCCCCGCCCCCACGGGCCCCCGTTTCACGGCTGAGGCCTCTCTTGGAAGGGGTGCAGCCCGCACGTGCGCTTGCAGGGGGTGAGTGCTGAGTGCTAGGTGGACGGGGCTGCACCCTGGGGGCTGCTCGCAGCCAGGCAGGAAAGGCCCCCCGCCCCGAGGCCCCAGCTGTTCGCAGCCTCCCAGCAGCCTGGCTCCTCGGGCTGGCCCATGCAGGGTTCCTGGGGCTCAGGGAGGGCCTGAGCCAGCCGCACCACCCCCTTAACTCACACGCACGTGGACAGCTGCCCATACGGCACCGTGTACCTCTCGCCACCTGCGGACACCAGCTGGAGAAGGTCAGTGACCCAGAACCAACCCCAGCCCTCTCACTGGAAACAAAGCCATACTTCCATCGTGGTCGTGCTTGGAAAACCAAGATGTAGTCCCTTAAAAATGGCAAAACTTAGAAGCATCCAGAAGTTTCTAGAAATCAGCTCTATCCCTGTAACAATGAGGTCACAGTTTTGGGGTCTTCCAGGGATTTTTTTTTTTCCCTTTCTCTGATTTATGACTGTTTTTTTTCTTTTCTTTTTAACCAAAGTTGGGATTGTATGGAATATTCAGTGTCGTCACTTGCTTTATTTCATTTAATGTGCTATTATGATTGTTTCCCACATTCCCAAAAAGCCGTAGAAAACGTGACTGGAAAAGTATTATATATTACTAGAAAATTAGGGAGATGTATAAATACATGTAGAAGATTAAAAAAACCCATAATGTCATCATCTGCTGCTGCTGCTGCTAAGTCACTTCAGTGTTGTCCAACTCTGTGCGACCCCATAGACGGCAGCCCACCAGGCTCCCCCGTCCCTGGGATTCTCCAGGCAAGAACACTGGAGTGGGTTGCCATTTCCTTCTCCAATGCATGAAAGTGAAAAGTGAAAGTGAAGTCGCTCAGTCGTNCCGTGGACTGCAGCCTACCAGGCCCCTCCATCCATGGGATTTTCCAGGCAAGACTACTGGAGTGGGGTGCCATTGCCTTCTCCAAATGTCATCATCTAGGAAGATATAAAATAGCAGCAACAGTATAGCTAATACAAATACCTGCAGGAACACAGCTGATAGCTGCACACCAGCGTTAGTGTACTTGCTGCTTCCCAGGTGGCGCTAGTGATAACCTGCCTGCCGGTGCTGGGGACGCACGAGACGCAGGTTGGATCCCTGGATCAGGAAGATCCCCCGGAGGAGGGCATGGCAACCCGCTCCACTGTTCTTGCTTGGAGAATCCCCACAGACAGGGGAGCCTGGCGGATACAGTCCACGGGGTCACACAGAGTCAGACAGGACTGAAGCTGCTTAGCACATACGCTTGTCCACACATGTGAATACACTTTAATGACACAGGCGTGTACACTTAAAAATGGTTAGAAAGGCAAACTTTATTTTAGTACACATACACAGAAAAATATATGTAGGTGATTTCAGTAAACAAAGATCAGAAGTAAGCAAGCTGTTAAAAAAACCCAGAAAATATATATAATTGAGTAACACAGTTTAATGCCCACCAAGCACATATTCATAGCCCAGGTCCTATTTCAACCATCACACACATTAACACATTATTGACCAGGGGATTTTTGCAGAAACGAATGCCTGTGGCATTGATAACGTCTCCGGTCAATAACGTGTCAACTCATGTAAGACACACAGAACTCTATAGAGTTGGGGCTGTTATTCTCCCCATTTTTAGGCATAAGAGCACAGAGGGGTGGGAACACTTGCTCAGGGACACACAGCTGGTGGAGGGGGGCCAGGATCTCCCAGCCCCTCATTGCTCACCCAGCCCCAGGGTCAGAGACAGCCCCGCCCTTTGTCATCTAATCTTGTCCCTGAACCAGGTTTCCTCCACGTCACTCTCAGCGTCTGGGACATTCCTTTTCGGGCGCACACGGCTCTTACTCTCATCCCCACGTTGGCTGTGCAGCTGGTCCTGCCCTTTGTGGGTCTGCCCAGCTTCCCAAGGCTGCCTCTGGTTTCTTAGGCGGCCTCCCTCCAGGCATCTGCAGCTCGGGGCATATTGTGTCATTGGGGCAGAGACTGGAACCTCTCCTGGGTGCTGGGCAGCATTGGGTTGGTTGGAGCAAGACCTTCCTTGGCTTATTTGTCACTGGTGGGGGCCTCCGTGAGGCTGCTGTGGGATTGGCAGGCCTGCTGTCTTCAGGGCTTCAGCAGGAAGCTGAGACGCCCATCCACGGGCAGGGACACTTTGCAGGCGAAAACCATGGTCACTCTTGTGGTTCTTTAGGGTTTTACTGAGATCGCAGCTCACAAAAATGTCCCATAACTGTCACCGTCTTCTGTCATGTGGGTCCCAGATGTAGTGGAGTCAAGATATCCCTTTGTCCCCTTTGGGGCTGAGGCTCACTGTTTCTCTCCTCTTCCCAGGACCAATTCTGACTCCGCCCTGCACCAGAGCACAATGACGCCCACCCAACCAGAGCCCTTTACGGGTGGGTCCCAGGATGCGCACCAGAAAAGAGGTATCGGCAGAGCCCACGGGCACCTTTCCTAGGGACAGGCAAGTCCAGTAGGTGGCCACTGTGCCCTCAGGGGCCACAGACCTGAGAAGGAAGACTCAGCAAGTGCTGTATAACATGAGGAGTTCAGAGAAACTTTCAGAGATGGCACTGCTTGAGCTGGATTTTGAGGGATGCGTAGGGGTTTTCTGGGCAGAGAAAACAGTCCCTGTGAACTCACATTGGCTTCTGTTGATGGACTCAGGGTAAGACCTCACAGTCTAAGGCGCCTTGCAGATGCTTTCAGATGTTGGGAGCAGCAAACCCAAGCAGAAGGGGCTTTTATCAGCTCATGACCAGCAGTTGGGGCTAGATGTTCATCTTCAGGGACCGTTCAATCCCTGGCTTCACACTGGATCATTTCCTGTCTCTGATGCTCAGAACCCACTTGGTCCCTAAGGTCCATCCTGAAACAGTGAGTGGAAGAGAGGCCAGTTGTCCCCTAACTCTTGTCCAGAGCCTCCTTTATAGCTGGGTGCACACACCTCTGTAGCTGGGGCAGATCTGTACGCAGGCCCCAGTCCCTCCTTGGAGCCAGGTGTGGAGGCAGTGTCCTTGGGACCCTCCAGGAAGGTACACGGCATCTTAAAAACTGGGGCAGCGACACCCAGAGAGGGCAGTGTGACACTGTGAGGCCAGCCCTCGAAACCCACGTGGGCCTGACCTGCTCCAGGACCCTGAAACCAGAAAATGAATCATGTACGCTGATGTCCAGATGCTTCCCACTTTTCTGGTAGCATTTCACTGTGCGAGTTTGTGAACATACCGGGGAGATTCTGCTGAAGGAAGGAGGATGAGCAGCCAGAAGGTCACCGCTTGGCTGGCAGGCACCCTCTCCATGTGATCTTTCCAGCTCAGTGGGCACCAGCAGTGAGGGCGTGTGTCCATAATAAAGCGAGGATCCCAAACTCCTGGGTGGATGAGAGTGCATCTGTCACTTCCCTCCTGCTCCTGGTGCTGGAGGGAGCTTAGAGAGCACTGTCCACCCTGAGGGAGGCCCCCGCAGAAGCGTGGGCTTTTGGCATGGACAAGTGGACTTTGCCCTCCCAGGGACCCTTGGTGATCCCTGGCAACTCTGAGTCCTGTTGGCCTTGGGGTCAGGGGCGGGAAACACATCACCTCTCCCGTTCCTCTAGGAGGGGCCCAGGCAGTAACAAAGTCTAGGATTAGCCTGGTTGTCCTCCCATCCCCTCGTCTAGGTTTTGAGAAGGAGAAATTCACCCATCTGGCTATGTTCCTAATTTTACTATTCCGGGTGAAAAACAGCCTTCAACAGGCATAAAGAAATTGGATCTCATAAAAGTGTGTACTCTCTCCTTACCTGAAAGGTTTAAGGAAAGGTGCTTCAGGTACAGCTGGCTCCAGGGCCTCGAGAGATGCCATCTTGTTCCTTTCTCCTCTCCTTTCCTCCCTGGGACTGGTTAGCACTGCAGATCATTCATGGCGTCATAGCTGCCATGGGTGGATGGACCTCAGTCTCCAAGACCCCAGGAGGGACCCAGCCTCTGGGTGCTAACAGCCCAGAAGAGGAGACAGGTGTCCACAGGGCTGCAGGTGGGGCTTATGGGGCAAGACAGCCACCCCCGGGAGAGATGCTTGGCGGTCCTCTGCAGCTTGAGGCCCCTGAGGCCTGAGGAGACCCTGTGAGAGCCAGCTGCTACGCGCGCCCTGAGCTCCAGAGCTTTCACTTTCGTTTCTCTTTAAATCACAGGTCCTCTGGTTTGTTTTTTTTTTTTTTTTTTACTTTATTTTTAAAAAATGAAGCTCTTGTGTTCTTTAGTACAATCCCCAGAAGTTACTGTTGGGGCAGTTACATTCATATCACGGTTGTGGCTTTGTGTCAGATCTGCAGCTTGAGGCCCCTGAGGCCTGAGGAGACCCTGTGAGAGCCAGCTGCTACGCGCGCCCTGAGCTCCAGAGCTTTCACTTTCGTTTCTCTTCTTCTTCTTTTTTTTTTGGTTTGTTTTTTTTTTTTTTTTTTACTTTACTTTTAAAAAATGAAGCTCTTGTGTTCTTTAGTACAATCCCCAGAAGTTACTGTTGGGGCAGTTACATTCATATCACGGTTGTGGCTTTGTGTCAGGGACCACCTGGTACCACTGCAAGGCTGCAAAGATCCCTTTTCTGCTTCTCCTCCAACCCCGCCCCAGTCTTACTGTTAACAGTCCCAGGTATGGAGGAGACCGCATCAGAGACAGACAAGAATCTTTCCAAGCAAGGATGGGACACCAAGAAGGTAAGAGCCTAAGTGCTTTTGAAGGTGGTTTCCCTTCTTGATCTTTTAAAATCTTTTTAGAAGCACAACCCAAGTGAAGATGGTGAAATAGCATGTTGGGAGAACATCTTTCCTGAAATGTGAACCTCATTCTGTTTTTTTTTTTTTAATTTGTTTTCTGTTTTTTTCGCTTCCTAGCATGCAGGATCTTAGTTCCCCAACCAAGGATTGAACCCAGGCCCTTGGCAGTGAGAGTGCAAAGTCCTAAGCACTGGACTGTCAGGGAATTCCCCAAACCTCATTTAGCTTTAACCAGTTAGGCCTTGAATACTAACAGCAGGCCTGTTAACACTGGGAAAAACCACATAAAGAATTAAAATCCATGTTCACTTTGACAGCATGTATTAAATTGGAACAATGCAAAGAAGATTAACATGGCTCCTATGCAGGGATGACAGGCAGATTCATGAGGCATTCCATGTTTTTACATGTACTGATGAACGTTAACTAGACTTATTGTGGTGATCACTGCAGTATATACAAATACAGAATCATCACATTGTGCACCTAAAACTAATATAATATTATATGCCAATTATATATCAACTAAAAAAGAAATTGAAGCCAGGGAGATTAAGTGATGTGCACAAGGTTGTGAAGATACTTCGGGTTTAGAACCTATACTACCTAATTCTTAGCCTGTGGTCATTCTACTAACCCACAGTATTGGGTAATTTTCATCATTTATCTTCCTCTTTAAACATAAACTTCCATTTATTTGCACAATAATTGGAGCTTTTATTGCAGTACAGAGTCTGCTTGGAATTCCCAGTTGGCTTGAGATGTCTGTATTATTTCTAGATCCAGAAACAGATTTCTCAGTTTCAGCCTACAAAAAGATCTGGTGATAAGATAAGTTGTGCCATGAATAGATTTCAAAGAATTTGAATAGAACAAAAATGCATTTAACACTAAAGCGATTTTGAATGTAAAAAAAAAAAAAGAATTGACACCTATCACTGGTCAAGTTGCAGGGAAAGGGACAGCAGCTCAGATCGCTCATTCCCTTCAGGAGCTCGGAAGGCGATGATGAAGCAGACAGCACTGTGCTCATTAAGGCGTGTGTTCAGAGCTTTTGGAATCAACTGAAAACAACCTGAATGTTTGACAGCAGGGGATTTATAAGGAAATTGTCCTCAGTCCCTCATGTGGAAAGCTCTGTGTGTGTGAGTTGGGATCTCTGAAGGAGTTTTAAAGGCATGAGAGACTTGTGAGAAAACTGGTACACAGAAAGAGCAGGATAAAGCTGTTTAGAAAGGCACAAGACACAGAGAGATGCAGATCCCTGGGTGTGCTGGACCAGGCCCCGGGGGAGATGCACATGCAGGTTTGGCCAGCACTCTTGACCCGGTCCGCATGTTGCAGTTTTGCCCGAGGAGTACTTGTCATTTTCATACTTGGTAAAAACCTTTAAAACTCTTAATAACCCAAAGGAAAAAGTAACTGAAATGTCTAGTTGCGGAGAGGTGCGTCAGTAGGAGAACGGGGTCCCTACCACCTGCCCAAAATGTGCTGCTGCTGTAAAGCCAGAGAAGATGGCAAGTATCACGGCTGGGGAAGAAAGGAGCCCCAGCATCAGTGGGAGTGAGAAGAGGGTGGCAGAGCCCAGCATCTGGGCGAGACTCCTTTTAACTGCCGCTTGAAACCAAAGGATACATCTGTGAGGATGTCAGTAAAGGAATTCCTGTGGATTCGTTGGGGGTGGGACGGGGGATGATGGGTGAATTCTTCGTGCAGTTTAGAAATCCATTAGGATCCCATAACATCCGTGGAATGCGTTTGAAAAGACTCTTTAGAAAAAGTCATTGTCAAAGCGCTTTGCAAAGAATAATCTGGTAATGAAGCGAGTGTTTACTCACGGAATTAAGGAGCCTACGGCCAAGTAAAAACCCGTTCCTCCAGCATTCCCTGCAGGGGCTAAATGCCTGGTGGTTACATGCCACCCCTTGGGTGCCCCAATCACTGCCAGTTGGGCCTTCCCTCCTTCCCACCCCCTAGCTCACTGGCTGTGTGCATGGAAGGCAGGCCTAGCCTCCTGCCAGTGTGCCCACGTTCTGGGCTGATAATCCTTAGAGAATACCAGGAGTGTCTGCCCGAGGGCCCGGGAGGCAGAGACGAGTAGGGAGCGTGACTCAGCCGGGCCCTCTCCTGGCATGCGAGGTTCTGCCCAGTCCTGTCCGCTGCCGCCGAAGAGAGTTCCTTTGTCCTTGGACGAAGAGTCTAGGGACGCTGCGGTTCCTGGATGGCAACAGGGTCCTGGGTTCACAGAAGAGGAAGGGGAAGCAGAGTTTCCCCGGGGCTGGTCTGCAGGGCAGCCACGGTGTCTGTCCCCGGGCAGCGTGGGGCAGGGAGCACAACAGCCCCAGGGTTCCCTTGGGAATCAGCTCAGGGCCCCGCGCCGTTGGAAGGCAGGCCAGCAGGGGGAGTGGCCAGCATCTTCTGTGTTATCTGTGGCATCTGGTTTGAGCCTCCTGAGGGTTCTCCATGGCATGTTCTTCCTTGCCGTGAACAGAGGGACTCTGAGCAGCGGGAGCCTCTGCCACCAGAGTCCCGCCTGCTTTGATTCAGGAGTGACGTAGGGCGTTAGCCTCCAGGCACCTGGGTGGGTTTTTAGTGGTCCTGTCCCCCAGCTGTCTGCCAACATCATGGTACAGCCCCAGGGGATTTGGATGTGAAGAGTGGGCAGGGTTCCTCTACTTCCCCAATGCCTGCTCTGACGGGACCACACCACCCCTGGTCCATGCCCATCTTACCAGGTAGAGTGAAGCCGGGAGGGGGCTGTAGGAAAACCATCTCCACACAGTTCTTGGTTTTGCCCTTGGGTGTGTCTGGGGCAGCCCATCCTCCTATCCTTTGGGGCCACATTTCCTTTATCTGCACCTAAACTGTATTTTTTTTTTAATTTGTTGAATTTTGGCTGTGCTGGGTCTTTGTCGGTGCATGCAGGCTTCTCACTGCAATAGCTTCTCTTATTGCACGGCACAGGCTCCAGGGCTCGTGGGCTTAGTTGCCCCATGGCTTGTGGGATCTTAGTTTCCAGACCAGGGATCGAACCTGTGTCCCCTGCATTGCCACTGGATTGTTAACCACTGGACCACTAGGGAAGTCCCAATAAACTCAGTTCTTGTTGGGTACTTCTTAGCCCTTGTAGAGAGGTCAGCCATACTGTGAGGGGGTGCAGTGCCTGTGAGGAGGCCGGCTCAGACTCTGCTGTCTTCTCTTTCAGACAGGGCCCAGGCCCAAGTCCTGCGAGGTTCCTGGAATCAAGTAAGTCTCAGCAGGGCCCACCCTGTGTGCCCAAGGCAACCAAGGGCTGCTTGGACAACCCCGGGTCTTCCCATCTGCTCATGAGGCCACACACCCTGATGATAAGGGCTCTGTGCCACTGGCGGCCACCCAGCAAGCCCCATGCTGGGGGACACTCCTGCCCCTGCCTGCCTGAGATGACAGAGCCCCTTCCCCAGCCCCATACCCCGTTCCTGGTCAGTGGGAAGCCCCTCCCCCAAGCCCGAGCTGTCGGCCGCTTCCTGTTTGCACTGGAGGTGCTGGGAGCTTTCTCCAGCAGAGCAGCGCCTCACTCTGGGGTGTCATTTTGCACCTGCTGGTTTATTTTTTTGCAGCCAGCCTTCTCCTGCCCCCACCACAGCTTCCTGGGGAGAACAGGCCAGCTGCCGTCCTGAGAGCTCACCTCCCCCTCTGTCTGGCCTTTCCCCCCCCAGCATCTTTCCATCCGCCGACCAGGAAAACACTACAGCCCTGATCCCTGCCACCCACAACACGGGGGGCTCCCTGCCTGACCTGACCAACATCCACTTCCCCTCCCCCCTCCCGACCCCCCTGGACCCCGAGGAGCCCACCTTCCCCGCGCTGAGCAGCTCCAGCAGCACCGGCAACCTGGCGGCCAACCTGACGCACCTGGGCATCGGTGCCGCCGGCCAGGGTAAGCCGGGCCGGGTGGGGGGGTGCCGCTGCTGTGCGCGCGTGTGTGTGTGTGAGTGAGGGCTGAGCAAGGGCGCCGCTTCCCCGCCAGGGCTCTGCCCGCATGAGGATGACGCGCGCACGCGTGTGTGTGTGTGTGTGTGTGAATGAGGGCTAAGCAAGGGCGCCCCTTCCCAACAGGGCTCTGCCCTCGTGAGGATGGGGTGTGTGTGTGTGAGTGAGTGTGAATGAGGGCTGAGCAAGGGCATATCCCCAGGGCACCAGGGTGGAGGGCAGAGTCCTCCATGGGGATTTGGGGTTGCCAGGCCAACCCAAGGGGAAGGGCATCTGGGCAGAGGCCAGGGTCTGGGAAGGGACATGCCCCCAGGGCTTGGACCATGGTTTTTACGGGGGGTTGGAGGCTTCAGGGAGTTGGGGTGGGCCAGGCTTTCCCCATGCGCCCCTCTCATGGAGGGACAGGCCTGATCTGTTCATCCTGCCCCGCCCACTTCCCTCCCCCTTCTCACCTCCCTCCCCCGTCCCTGTTCCCCACTGTGACTGACAGCTTAGGACACTCCAGCCCAGCTGCCTCCCTGTACTGCACAGCCATCCATCCCTGGGGACATATCATGGTCCCAGGGTCCCAAGAACCCCCAGTACCACCCTGGCCCTGTTGCTCCTGAGGACTTCCGGCGGCACCATCCCCCTGTAACTTAGGCAGGGGCCCTGGAGGTGTCCTCCTGTCCCCAGACTCTCTCCCCGCTGTGGCCCCACATGCTGGGTTCCCCCACCCATCCTCCCACCCAGAATGGCTGTCAGCTCACGACCCTCCTTTGGTCAGGCCCTTGCACAGATCTTCAGTCTCCTCCTAGAGGAAGCTTCAGGCCCCGGGAGCCCCTGATCCTGCTCCCCACCCCAACTCCTCTCCAGCCAGTGAGCTTCCACAGGGCACCCTGGCATGTGCTGCCCCTCCCCCACAGATCCCCTCCTCCAGGCTCCTCACCCCCTTCCCTGCTCAGACTCCTGCTCTCCCTTCTGCAGGCTTTCTGAGCCCCTGCCCATGACCTGCCCCTTCTCACACTGAGTGGCTTTTCTGCACTCGCTGAAGTCAAGTCACTGTTCTGCTCTCAGCATCCCCTGGGCTGGGCCTCGGTCTCACACGTCCTCGCTGTGACCCCTGTACCCACGCTGACTTGGGGGGGTGTGGGCTTGCGTCCAGGGGGAAGGGGCAGTCCCCCAGCAGCCTGGTGGTGGGACAGGCAAGAGGGGCCATGGGGACTCACACGTGTCTCCACGTGTGTTGGGACTCAGGGGTTGATAGGCACCACCTCATCATGCCCTCCTTCAGCCCCGGAGCCACAGCCTGGGCCCCCCGCTCACCTGGTCCACAGACCCAGTGCACCTCCACCCTGCGCTCCCCCTGCGGGGTGGTGCCACGCTGGGTTTTCTGAGAATCACACTCACATTCCTATTGGCTGCAGTTCCTCTGGGGAAGCCGACTGTAAAGAATGGGCAGCAGCCCGTGTGCCCCGTGGGCAGCTGTGCAGAGAGGTTTCAGGGTGAAGTGGGCCAGCCTTGGAGTCGGGTGGGGTTGGCAGTGAAGGAGAGCACGGAGCCCGCAGTCATTACTGGCTTTGATGCGGACAGGGCTGGGGCAGGTGAGGGTTGTTGAGGGCGGTGCATGCTCCGTAGGTGTTCTCGAGAAAAGCTAGCTCAGCCATCAGGCAGGAGACACTTGCCCTGGCCATGCCCCTGTCCCCCTCTTCCAGGGAAGGCCCAGAACACAAAACAAGCAGATTCAGGGCACCCCAAGCTCCTGGGCCCTCCAAGAGACCAGTGGGTGGACAGTATCCACATTCCTGTGCAAGGCAAGAAATTGGAAGGTCGCCTCCAGGGCTGCTAGGGAGGGCCCCCCACGCCGAGTCACTGTTTCCTGGCCCCCGTTTTTCTCCTCATGCCTTGCAGCAGCCTCCAGAGCACCACCCCCTCTGCCGGAGGGTCCTTGGCAGCCCCGCCCCCACCCGCAGCCCCAGCGCCCGCCTGGGAGCCACGCACTTCCAGCCCGAGCTGAGTCTAAACAAGCACGGGAAAACAACACATGTGAAAACCATAGATGCAGGACCAAGCGCAGACCGCGAGCGGGGGCCCAGACCCCAGCCTGCCTGGCTCGGCACATCGGCCCAGTAATGTCTGACATGTGTTCGGTTGTTTGCGAACCTGCCACTCCACGGCAGCTTGCCTGACCAGGGCCTTGTTTTTCCGGGCGCATTTTACATCAAGCAGAGCCGCCGGCCCCTGGTACATGTGGAGCCCGCCCCCTCCCCCTGCCTGCCCGTCCTGAGGCCCCCCTCTCTCCTTCCACGTTTGCTAAAGTCATTTCCCGGGCATGGGAGGTGGGCAGGCTGGGGTCCTCCCTCGCAGCACCCCTCTGGGGCCAGCCAGCCCCACACAGAGGGCTTGCATGCCACCACCACCTGGCCTGCCCTCCCCTGGCAGCTCTCCCTGCCCGCGCTTGGCCTCCCTGCCAGCTGGCCCCACTTCTTTTCCCAAAGGTGATCCAGGTTGTCCGAAGGAATTTAGGAACAAGGCTTCCCTCGGCCCAGCCGGTGTCTCGGGGGTGGTGCCTGCCTGCCTGTGAGGCCTGGAGCTCACTCTGCAGCCAGGCCGAGGATTAAAAACCTCCCTTGTGTTCAGCACAGACGTTAGAGGCGGGCAGCCTAACCGCCCAGTGTGTTTTGGCTGTCCTCCGACTGTGTGCGTGATGCAAACATGCATGTAAAAACCTGGATTTCAGGCCTCACTGGAAGAATCAGGCCCAGTGTGGTGGGCCAAGGTCCTGCAGCTCAGAGGGACTCGAGCTCTCCAGGTGGCGGCAGACCTCTCCTGGCCCTGTCGCCCCTCCAGCCCACTCACTCCTGGCATCTGCCTCTCCTGCTCATCAGTTCCCGACATCCACTCCTGATGTGGGCGGCGAGCATCCCTTGGCCTGCTGGACAAGTGAAGCGTTGGATGCTCAGAGAAGACAAGGGAGCGGCACGGGGTCCTGACTCCCAGGGTGCCCTCAGCAGGCGTCTTTCAGACGCCATCTGCCTAGGCCTCTGTCAGCGGCTCCCTTGACTTTGCTGTGTTTGCAGCAGCCTGATTCTGGACCCAGGGTCTGTGTGGACACTGGCCCCCGGGGGCTTTGCTGCAGTGTCAGCACTGCCCCCCACCTCAGTGTCCAGCTGAGTGGAGCCGCCAGGGCATCCGAGGGGGAAGTGCAGGCGTGACTGGGCTCGCCCTGCACCGGTGACAGCCCCAGCGAACAGCTGCCTCGGGGTGGAGGGAAGGCTGCCTGTCATCTCCCTTCCGGAGTGTGTGCGGGCTGTACTCTCGTCCACCGTTGAACCTGCCACCTCATCCGCTGGAATAAAGTTGATCTGGTGCCCTCCACGGGCTGGGCCCAGCTCCCCTGGTGAGTCAGGCAACTTCACCTGGCCTTGACTGCAAGCCAGGCTCTCTCCCAAGCCTGCTCAGCACCTCACGGGAGCCTCACGGTGAACTGGAAGAGACAAGGAAACTGAGTCTGGGGGCATCTGGCCAGCCCCCAGGGCACCCCTCCTGCTCCCAGCGTCAGGGCCTGTGCTTTCCTGGCACCGTACCTCGAGATCCACCAGCAGGCCCCCACTGCTACCACACTGAACCTGACCTCACTTGGCTCCTTCACGACAGACACATCCAGGGATCAGCTCGCTGGGGGCGGGGGCCAGGGGGAGGGAAGGAAGGGGCGACCTGGAGCGCTCCAGCAGGAGCTCCAGCGGGAAGAAGACAAAGTAACCGAGTCTCTAGTTCGGTCACTCTAGTGGGGTTGGTGCTGCAGTGTGGCAGATGCAGGGGAGGCGGGGGAGAAGGTTGTGGATGTGTCCTGAGGGGCCAAGAGATCTAGCCAAAGGACCAGTCCTGGGGAGGGATGAGGGAGGAGAACGATGAGGGTCGGGAAGAAACTGCAGCGTCAGACAAGACCGACTTGGTTTTGGACCTAATCAAACGCAAGCTATTTTAGGCGAAAAGAAAAGGGAGGGGACGCATTGTCTCCTGAAACCAGGAAGTGCCAGCATGGCTGCCTCTGAGGCTCAGGTGCTGTTTCTGCCCCTCAGCTCCCTTGTTACCCCTCACGCAACTCCGAACCAAAAGCCCCTGGGCAGGATCTCATTGGCCAGCCTGGTCATGTGTCCATCTGGGAGCCAATCATGTGGTAGCCCAGAGGTGGGGAAGTGCTGATTGGCTGGGCCTATGGGACCCGCCCCTCCTGGGTGGTTGGCAGGCTCACGGGGGAACATGTTGGCCGGCATTGGAGGTGGGAGCCCCCGCAGTGCTGGGGGACCCCTAGGTCAGGGTATTGGGGCCTCAGAGGGGCCGTCCTGGGTTTGGCGATCAGGATGTGCCTCCTGGTACCTATCTGAATGAATGGACTGTCCTCAGCAGTGACCCTTCGTGTGTGAGTGCCTCCTGCCCCGATGCTGGCGGCTGGCATCACTCCCACCCTCCCTCCCTTTCAGGGATGAGCACCCCTGGCTCCTCACCGCAGCACCGGCCGGCCGGCGTCAGCCCACTGTCGCTGAGCACAGAGGCAAGGCGGCAGCAGGCCCAGCAGGTGTCGCCCACCCTGTCCCCGTTGTCACCCATCACTCAGGTGCGAGGGCCCAGTGGGGCAGGGGAGGTGGGCCCGACTGTGCCTCTCTGGGAGGCCTTATGCTCCTTCCAGGGAGCAGAACGCTAAACATCTTCCTAACATTTTTTTCTTTTTTTGTGTGGTCAAATTTTCAAAGACATGGGCAATGCAGAAATCAAGTGGCCTGGAGTCCCCTGTGTCCATCTCAGCTGATAGATTGTGCCCGTGTGACTGGCCAGTCTTAACTATGCCAGTCTCTTCTTTAGGATCTCATTGGCATTTCCCGACTGTCAAAATACAGCATTTAGAGTGTCTTTTTCTGTTTAAAAAAAGAAAACCTGATAAAACACTTCACCAGGTTTCCTTCATCTGCTTGTTTGGTAGATTGTGTCTAGCAATTGGTCCATTTCATCAAGATTGTCCCCCATGCCAGCAAACAGCTGTTCATAGGCAGTGTCTGTGTTAAGTCACTCAGTCGTGTCTGACTCCTTGTGACCCCATGGACTGCAGCCCACCAGGCTCATCTGTCTGTGGGATTCTCCAGAGAAGAATACTGGAGTGGGTTGCCATTTCCCTTCTCTAGGGGATCTTCCTGACCCAGGGATTGCACCCTCATCTCTTGGGTCTCCTGCAATGGCAGGCGGATTCGTTACTTACTAGCACCACCTGGGAAGCCTGTTTGTAGGCAGTGTGTGTGAAAGTCGCTCAGTCATGTACTGACTCTGGCCCCATGAGACTATACAGTCCATGGAATTCTCCAGGCCAGAATACTGGAGTGGGTAGCCTATCCCTTTTCCAGCTGATCTTCCCGTTGCAGGAATCAAACCGGAGTCTCCTGCATTGCAGTTGGATTCTTTACCAACTGAGCTATCAGGGAAACCCTCTTTTTCATAATCCTTTTAATATCTGTAAAGTTCATTCCCCCTTTTGTTTTTTATTTCTGCAGTTGGGATCTTATCTTTTTTACTTAGTCCAGGCTCCTGGAGTACCTTAGGGAGTATTCTCTCCTCTTCTGTTCTTTTTGGAGAGTTTGAGAAGCATCGCTATTACTTCTTGCAATGTTTGGTAGAACTCAGTGTAGGTGCCGCAGCCTCGACAGATCTGCGTTAGAAAGTTTATGATACCTGATCTGATTTCTCCCTAGATACCAACTCCTTAGACTTCCTTTTCCAGATTCTTGGGTCCATTTTGGTAGTTTGTGCGTTCTGAGGAATTTGTCCATGTTGACTGTTTTTCAGCCCCTAGTACATAATGGTTGTTGGTTTTTGTTTTTGTTTTTGTTTTTTTTTTAACATAACCTTGATGGTCTTATCCACCTACGATGAAATTTAACAATAGTTCTGCTAATACATCTTCCGATGCCTGGCCTGGGCCCTGTTCCCCCACCAGGTCTCTGCCTCTTCTCCAGTTCTTCAGATTAGGAGCCGGAGCCATGGATGGTTCCTGATGGCACCATCTTCGGTCTCTCCATCTGGGGGACCCTGGCCTCATCTCCCTTCCCCACCACGCCCCACCCCTGAGGCCTGCCTTCTTTTGAAAACGCCTCTCTGTTCACAAACTGCCTACCAGCTAGTGCCAGGCTTTCTTCTTAGTGTTTGTATTCTGTAGTTCCCGGACACTTCCAGTCTCCCTCAGAAGGTAGGAACCCTTGCCTGCCTGAGGAACTGTCCGGGTCGATGGATGAGTATTGAAAACTTCCCTCTGGTTATTTTCCTCTTTCCAACTCTAAGAGAGCCCAGAGCTGGTCATTGCCCAATGACCATGCCAGTGCCTCCCTAACCCATACCATCTCCAGCTTCCCCTTGGCTGAAGGTGGCAAGAGGGGGTTCCTTTTTACAGGACTCCACAGGGGCTATGTGCTGGCTCCGCACTGAGCTCCCAGAGTATATGCCCCATGCCTGCCTATAGCTGGGAAGCTCCAGCTCAAAGGGCAGAAGAGGAGAGGATTCTAAGTCTGCAGATGTGGAAAGTGGTGCCCCCTATTGGCATGGGAGGAGAAAAACTCGCTGGGGGCAGGCCCACCGAGCTGCAGCCCCGTCCTCCATGGGCCTTGGGGGACGCCTGCCCGCTCAGCCTTTGCTGCCCCAGTCCAGGGTCGGGACACCCTTTGGTTTGTCCATCACTTCACTGCCACGGGCCGTGGGGGTCCCCACCTCTGAACGTGCCTCCTGCCTGACGCCCTCCTCCCCCTGCAGGCCGTGGCCATGGACGCCCTGTCCCTGGAGCAGCAGCTGCCCTACACCTTCTTCACCCAGGCGGGCTCTCAGCAGCCGCCGCCGCCCCAGCCTCAGCCCCCGCCGCCCCCGCCGCCGGCCTCCCAGCAACAGCCGCCCCCGCAGCCCCCACAGGTGCCTGTCGGCCTCCCCCAGGGCGGCTCCCTGATGCCGAGCGCCAGCCTGACACGGGGGCCCCAGCTGCCCCCACTCGCGGTCACGGTACCGTCCTCTCTCCCCCAGTCCCCCCCAGAGAACACTGGGGCCAGGGGCTCAATGGGGAATTCTGCCTGAAATCCTCTAGCCAAGTTTGTCCTCCCCACAGAGATGGGGAGACTGATTCATGAGCAGGGTCAGGTGCCGCAAACTTCACGCAGCATGGGCCACCCTGTGTCCCTCTCCCATGGGCCTGAAAGCCCCCCTCAGCCCTTCCCACCCAAGGCTTCCTCGGAGGCAGGGAGCACCCAGAGCTCTCGGGCTAGGGAATGGACTTCCAGGAGCCAAAGTGATGGAGATGACCTGGGAGGAATAGAAGGGGTGAAACCAGTTCTGTGGTTCTTACAACACAGTGCCCTGGGCCCAGGGCCTGCAGCTCAGCCCATGGGACCCCCTTGCCTGGGACAGGCTCAGGGTAACAAATGCTAGTTTTGGGGGGGTTGACCCCTGCACCTCCAAACCTTCCTGTCTGTTCAGACTTTCATCCAGGTTGCCCTGGTGGGAAGGGAGTGGTCACAGCTACCTTTGGCCTCATTCAGAGAAACGGACGCATGCTGAGGGCCCAGCCAGCCCTCCCTGCTCACTTGGCCCGTGGCCACCAGCCCCAGGGTACATGTCATCAGAACACCATGTGTTCTGTAAAAAACGAGCCCTCCTGGGCTGGACAGGGCCGGCAGGTCACCCAAGAGGGGGAGACTCACACCTCCAAGCCGTGCTGATCCCTCAGAGGGCAGACCTCAGGGGTCCCCGGGACAGGACTGCGCCCAAACCTTGCCTTTGGCAGAAACAGAGCAGTTATGGGGGCGGCCCTGACGGTGAGCTGCCTGGGGCACCCAGCAGGGGCAGCACCTCGCGGTGGAGCTGGAGGCACCTGGAGGCACCTGGAGGCACGGGGTATCCCAGCCACGCTCTCGGGTCGGGGCCCCGTGGTGGGTAATCCACCCACCACCCCTGTGGGAGCTGGCGCTCTCAGGGCTCGGGCTCCAGGGGCCTCCTCTGTGAGCTTCTGCACAGCCACTCACGGGAGGAGAATGTCCCCCCGGTCAACTTCATCTTCCCGACCCCGAGACAACCTGAGCTGGTCACTGCCAAGCGACCATGCTGTGTCTCTGACACTCAAACCCTGCTATGTGAGCCCCCTGCCCCATCTGGGCCCAGCCCCCATTGCAAACTTCTGGGGCCGCTGAGGAAATGAAGGAGACGTAGCATCTAGGGGGCCCTGAGCCGGCCAGCAGGGGCTCGTTAGACGGCAGGCTCAGAGAGGTCAGGCAGCTTGCCGAGAGACACACAGCAGGGCTTCCCTGGGCGGGCCCAGAGCAGGGACTAGATTCAGATCCTGGCCTAGCGGGTCTTGGCCCCCAGGGGTCTGGTGAGACGCCAAGACCCTTTGTCATTCAAGTGAGGAGGTGACTGCCCTTTGGAAGTCTGTGGACAGCATCACCCAGAGGGCCAGTCCCAAGCAACCTGGGTGATGGTGACCGCCGTGCACCAGGACCCCCACTCTGCCCCCGATCCTGCCATCACTTGAGGCCTTCTGACTCGCCCAGGCCCTTCCCTGCCCCAGCGTGTGTGTGGGTGTGTGCACAGCTGTGTGTGTGTGTGGGTACTGGTGTGCTTTCGTGTGAGAGCTCTAAACCCGCTGAGCAGAGGCCGGCCCCTCTGCCCTTCCGTAGCGCCCCAGGACAAGTCTGCAAGGCTGGGCTCTGGACTCTCACCACGCGCTCCCACCCCTCCCAGAGTTGGGTTTGGAGGCTGGGCCCCTTCACGGCCCAGGGCCCAGGTGCCCCCCTGCAGATGCCCAGGTGTTCTGCTTCCCTGAGGGGTGGGGGCCTTGCCAGGCGGCTGGGCCAGGCCCAGGGCCCTGCGAGCGTCCTGACCTGTCTGTCGTCGCAGGCACCGGCTCTGCAGCAGTACCGCACTAGCGCCGGCTCCCCCGCCAACCAGTCTCCCACCTCGCCCGTCTCCAATCAAGGCTTCTCCCCCGGGAGCTCCCCGCAAGTAAGGGACGCCGCCCCGCTCCCCCCGCCCCACTCCAGCCTGGCTGGCGCCCCCCAGCGTGGCCCCTGCGCACCAGTCCAGCGTCTGTGCCTCCTGTCTCACTCCACCCCATCTCGTTCACTCCATCGGGGTGGGGACGAGCGCGCGCAGCCACCCTACGCGGTGGCCAAGGAGGAGCCGCCCTCCCCCCGGAGCCGTCACGTTCCCACGGCACCTCTGCAGCCTGTGCTGAGCCCCAGCTCAGGGTGGCAGGCTCCCCATTCACGCCAGTGACGTCGGTGCCAGCTTCACCCCAGCAGGCGGTGGAGCAGGCTTCCAGCAGCCTGTGCTCCGTCCCTGCCCATGTCTGCCCCCGAGACCTCGTGCTTCCAGGCTTCTGGAGGTGGAGGGGTGCTCCCGCACTTTGGGGAACAGCTGAGTGACAGCCAGCCTGTGCGGGGGCTCTGCTCCTCAGCACCCCCCACCCCTTGTGAAGGTGTGTCTCTCACCTCCAGGCCTCCAGCCTGGGAAGCTTCTTTGGCCTGGCAGCCCGTCCGAGGTCCTTGCCCTCTTTGCATGGACGAGGAGCCCGAGGCTCACCCTTGACAGCAGGCAGGGCTAGAGCGTGTCGGTCAGACTCAGGTTTCCCTTCATACGAGGCAGCGCAGAGGTCCCGGGCCCCTGACACACACACGCATATACACAGAGGTTCCCTGACACACACACAGCACAGATTCCCGATCCCTGACACACACATGCATACACACAGAGGTTCCCTGACACACATATGCACACACAGAGGTTCCCTGACATGCACACACAGCACAGGTTCCCGATCCCTGACACACACATATATACACACAGACGTTCCCTGACACACACAGAGAGGTCCCCAATCACACACACACAGCAGCGGTTCCTGGTCTGTGACACATGCGCACACACACACACAAGTCCCCGATCGCTCACACACACACAGAGGTTCCCTGACACACACAGCACAGGCCCCCAGTCTCACACGTGCACACACACCCTTTGCAGGCTCCTCAGTCCCCCTTGGTGCTGCTCCCCCTTTGGCTGCATTCTGTCCAGAACCTTCCATCAAAGAAGGGGTTCCCGAAAAGCTGACATCTGGGCCCAAAACTTCTTGCCATAGCAGTGAAGCCTCCCCAGGACCCTGCCACCCCATCCCCAAGATCATCACCAAGTGGTGAGACTTCAGGAGTCACTGCCGCGCCCCAGACCCTGACGTCCCGTCCTCAGCCAGGGCTTTCCTTCCCGGTTGGAGCAGGAGTGTTCCTCCAGGCAGAGCCTTGGGGGACGGGTCCCACTCCCCCGTCTCGCAGGCTCTCAGCGCACCCTGAGCCAGGCCCTGCGTGTCAGGACAGTGACCTTCCCCTCAGGGAGACCTGAGCCTGTTCCCGAGACTCACTGACGCAGGACGGCCTCTCGCTCTGCCTCCCACGGCAGCCAGGGGCTGGGACTCTCCCTGGGCTCTGCAGAAGACAGGAGAGGCGCGGTGAGCTCAGGGCGCGCTGAGGGTCAGCCTGAGCTGTGTGTGTGTGTGGGTACTGGTGTGCTTTCGTGTGAGAGCTCTAAACCCGCTGAGCAGAGGCCGGCCCCTCTGCCCTTCCGTAGCGCCCCAGGACAAGTCTGCAAGGCTGGGCTCTGGACTCTCACCACGCGCTCCCACCCCTCCCAGAGTTGGGTTTGGAGGCTGGGCCCCTTCACGGCCCAGGGCCCAGGTGCCCCCCTGCAGATGCCCAGGTGTTCTGCTTCCCTGAGGGGTGGGGGCCTTGCCAGGCGGCTGGGCCAGGCCCAGGGCCCTGCGAGCGTCCTGACCTGTCTGTCGTCGCAGGCACCGGCTCTGCAGCAGTACCGCACTAGCGCCGGCTCCCCCGCCAACCAGTCTCCCACCTCGCCCGTCTCCAATCAAGGCTTCTCCCCCGGGAGCTCCCCGCAAGTAAGGGACGCCGCCCCGCTCCCCCCGCCCCACTCCAGCCTGGCTGGCGCCCCCCAGCGTGGCCCCTGCGCACCAGTCCAGCGTCTGTGCCTCCTGTCTCACTCCACCCCATCTCGTTCACTCCATCGGGGTGGGGACGAGCGCGCGCAGCCACCCTACGCGGTGGCCAAGGAGGAGCCGCCCTCCCCCCGGAGCCGTCACGTTCCCACGGCACCTCTGCAGCCTGTGCTGAGCCCCAGCTCAGGGTGGCAGGCTCCCCATTCACGCCAGTGACGTCGGTGCCAGCTTCACCCCAGCAGGCGGTGGAGCAGGCTTCCAGCAGCCTGTGCTCCGTCCCTGCCCATGTCTGCCCCCGAGACCTCGTGCTTCCAGGCTTCTGGAGGTGGAGGGGTGCTCCCGCACTTTGGGGAACAGCTGAGTGACAGCCAGCCTGTGCGGGGGCTCTGCTCCTCAGCACCCCCCACCCCTTGTGAAGGTGTGTCTCTCACCTCCAGGCCTCCAGCCTGGGAAGCTTCTTTGGCCTGGCAGCCCGTCCGAGGTCCTTGCCCTCTTTGCATGGACGAGGAGCCCGAGGCTCACCCTTGACAGCAGGCAGGGCTAGAGCGTGTCGGTCAGACTCAGGTTTCCCTTCATACGAGGCAGCGCAGAGGTCCCGGGCCCCTGACACACACACGCATATACACAGAGGTTCCCTGACACACACACAGCACAGATTCCCGATCCCTGACACACACATGCATACACACAGAGGTTCCCTGACACACATATGCACACACAGAGGTTCCCTGACATGCACACACAGCACAGGTTCCCGATCCCTGACACACACATATATACACACAGACGTTCCCTGACACACACAGAGAGGTCCCCAATCACACACACACAGCAGCGGTTCCTGGTCTGTGACACATGCGCACACACACACACAAGTCCCCGATCGCTCACACACACACAGAGGTTCCCTGACACACACAGCACAGGCCCCCAGTCTCACACGTGCACACACACCCTTTGCAGGCTCCTCAGTCCCCCTTGGTGCTGCTCCCCCTTTGGCTGCATTCTGTCCAGAACCTTCCATCAAAGAAGGGGTTCCCGAAAAGCTGACATCTGGGCCCAAAACTTCTTGCCATAGCAGTGAAGCCTCCCCAGGACCCTGCCACCCCATCCCCAAGATCATCACCAAGTGGAGAGACTTCAGTAGTCACTGCCGCGCCCCAGACCCTGACGTCCCGTCCTCAGCCAGGGCTTTCCTTCCCGGGTGGAGCAGGAGTGTTCCTCCAGGCAGAGCCTTGGGGGACGGGTCCCACTCCCCCGTCTCGCAGGCTCTCAGCGCACCCTGAGCCAGGCCCTGCGTGTCAGGACAGTGACCTTCCCCTCAGGGAGACCTGAGCCTGTTCCCGAGACTCACTGACGCAGGACGGCCTCTCGCTCTGCCTCCCACGGCAGCCAGGGGCTGGGACTCTCCCTGGGCTCTGCAGAAGACAGGAGAGGCGCGGTGAGCTCAGGGCGCGCTGAGGGTCAGCCTGCTGTCCGCGCTCCTCGTCCATCCTGTGGGCTCTGCGTGATGCTGGAGGGCTGTGGGGATGCAAGGCGCTGCTCCACAGGCTGCGGGCAGCCTGCCTGGGCTGGTCTCTGAGTAACGGCCCTTCTCATATGTGAGGCGGCACAGGAAGGTTACAGGAGAGCAAAGCTCTCTCGGGAGAGGTCCGCCTGGACCAGCGCGGTCCATCCTGAGTGGAGAGCATGTTGCTGTCTCATCGTGCCTGTGTCTGTGTGTCCGTTTGTCCATCCATTATGCGCCAGTAGGGGAAGAAGCTGCTCACTCAGACGTGAAGACAGCCCTGGGAGGCCCTTCAGCCCCAGTTAGGGGCTCTGCTTGGGGGCAAACCATGGCAGAAAGCAGACAGGGTTTCCCACTGAAGCTGGATCTCAGAGAATGCATTTATCAGCCCGCTGGGCCTGGGTCTCTCCCCACCTTCCCGGCCCAGCCAGCATCTCCCCTGGAGGCACGAGGCAGCCAGCTTGCCACACCTACCCTTGGGTGGATGTCTTACCTGTCTAGCTGCCTCTCTCCGGGACCTGAAGCAGCTGGGATTGGGCCCTTTCTGTTCCCTCCCTGCTTCCATCTGAGCAGACCTTTCTGGCAAACGCTCATGGCAGCTTTACAAGAGAAGCTGGGGTCCCCTGTGTGGGCGCTGGGGCCAAGGCCATGGGCACAGGGTCAGATGCCCTGGAGAGACGTGCCCCTGGCCTCTGCCCAGGTTGTCATCTGCCTCCTTCAGCCTCACCACCCCCTTTTCCAAACCTGAAGCTGGTGATTTTTAGGGCACATGTGGCCTTTTTGCCATACTAGCTTTTCTCCCTCCTTACTCCTTTAATGCTTTAAACTCTTCCTTGGTGTTTTAATGGTGTGTCCATCCCCAGGAGCCGTTCCACCTTCCAAGTGGCCAACTGTCCCTTTTCTGTGGTCAGTCCACTAAACACTCAGAGTGGCCGGTGGTTTTGTGACCAACTCTTCTTTGTGGTGGAGGCCTGAGAGCTCAGCTTTGGCAGTTGTGGGAGAACACGGGGACCTTTCTAGAACAGGGCGCTCCAAGGGAGGAGGTCCAGGGTCTGTGGTCTGTGAAGACTCTGACCTGGACGCACACTGGGCTGGGGCCTTGCTTCCCTGGGTCGTTGCCTGTGCTGTGAGCTGGCCACACACCCAGCTCCGTCTCTGCTCCCTTCTGCACCCCTCAGACCCCTTCCTGCCATCTCGCTGGCAGCATCACAGGAGGGGGCAGGAGCTCCCTGCCCCTTTTTTTGGCATCTCAACTGCCTCTGAGCATCCCCAGCTCCCTGCTCCTTTCCCGGCAGCCTGCCCCTGCCCCAGCTGGCATTGGGCAAACCGGAGTGGGGCTTTCTGCCCTCTCAGCCCTGGCGGCCGGTGGGGCAGGGCCTTCTGTGTATCTGTCTCGTCCTGCTCTCTGAAGCCTTCCTGCCCGTGTATGTGGCCTGCCTCGTGTCCCCTGTCTCCCGTGTCTGACATGGTGCACATCGCATCCTGGACACCCAGAGGCCCTCCGCCCTGCCCCAGTCACACGCTTTCCTCTGAGCTGTCACATCGGGTTCCTGCCCCCTGTGGCCCCTTGTCTTCCATCTGACGAAAACGGGCTCACCTATACTGGGGCTCACGGAGAGGAGATGGATGGCACTTTGAGGGAAGTTGGGGTGCAGAGGCCCCCCAGGATCAGGTGGTGGAAAGGAGCAATCGTCCTGAGGTTAGGAGTGCACCCCTCCATCGCAGGGGGCACGGGCTTTCCCAGGAGCCCTGAGATGGACGGGGTCAGCTTCTCACATTCCAAGCATCTTCCAGGAAGTTGCAGAGGCCTCCCCTGGCTCCCAGCCCAGGCCAGCATTGAGGTCCTGGGGGAGGGTCCGGGCGCACCCCCACCCCCCACACGGGCCTCGCCCCTGCCTGGTCGGGAGCCCTGACGACAGCGGGCCTCTCTTCTGTCTGCAGCACTCCTCCACCCTGGGCGGCGTGTTTGGGGATTCATTCTATGAGCAGCAGATGGCAGCCAGGCAGGCCAATGCTCTGTCCCACCAGGTGAGCGGGCGCACGCCGCAGACGCTCGCCAGGCCTGCCCACTGCCCGGCCCGGCCCCGCGTCTGCACCCCGCCCACAGCGGGGGAGGAAGGGCAGGCAGTGGACGCTGGCAGGGACGGGCAGTGGCCGTCACCGCAGGGCCCTGGTGTGGGCCGTGCACGTGGGTTTGCCGGGAGGTTGCACTGGCTTTGCCTGGACCCCAGGGTGGAGGGGGTGTGGGCCTGGGAAGGGTGGACTGCCACCCAGCGCTGTTCACTCACGTCACCAACCATCCATCCATCCATCTCCACGCACTCGGATGGGGCCGTGTGCTGGCCAGGCCAGGCAGGTGCAGAGATGGGGAGACCCCGAGGCAGAGGGACTCGTGCTTGGCAGCCCCAGGCTTGGGTGTGCCGGGCGTCCCAGAGGGCGGGAGGTGCTGGCGGTCGCAGGCAGGCCGGCCAGCAACCCACGGCCAGGGTCCCAGGGCGGCCAGCGCGGGGGGAGCCGGCTCACACCCACGTGCTTCCTCTCCAGCTGGAGCAGTTCAACATGATGGAGAACGCCATCAGCTCCAGCAGCCTCTACAGCCCAGGTTCGACGCTCAACTACTCCCAGGCGGCCATGATGGGCCTGACGGGCAGCCACGGCAGCCTGCCGGACACGCAGCAGCTCGGCTACCCCAGCCACAGCGGCATCCCCAACATCATCCTCACAGGTGAGCCACCCGCCAGGGCGTGCTCCGTGCAGGTCGGTGTCCGTGTCCCCGTGGGAGCCTAGGGGGAGATGGGATCCCTGCCTTGGCGCAGACCCACGGAGGCCAGGACCCCCACCTTGACTCACTGCTGGGCTTACAGGATACAGGCTGGGGGTACACATACTGAACCCTGGACTAGGTGTCCAGTGTCCTGGGCTCAGAGTATGAACAGTATAGAACCAGTCACTCATCTTGCTCATCCCCCCCTTGCCCAGGCAGGTGAACCCCGTTAGCTGAACATTCACACACACACACACACACACACATTTTCACCTAGCCATGCTCAGACCTTCCAGTCTTCTCTCCCCACCCTTGTCATGCCCCTAAAGGTTCTAGTATTATCAAAGAAGAAGCAGTTTCCTCATAAGCCAGGGCTGTCATGGGGTTGAGGATGAGACCCTTTCTGCAGTCCCGCTGGCATCTCTAGGATGGGAGGGTTCTCTCTCCAGAGCCCCCCACAGCCTGGACTAGACCCAGGGCCACCTGCCTGCCCCCAGGGTCTGCAGGAGATACTCTTGAGTGCAGAAGCCTTAGCCTTGGAGGTTGTGTGAGAAGGATCGGGCCTCTGTGATTGTGCAGTAGCCCAGAAAGACCAGAACTTACATGTCCATTTCCCAGAGTGGGAAACGGAGGTCCCTGATCGTACAAGAGCCCAGGTTTGAAGCTGGGTCTCTGCGGGGAAACTTGGGCTTCCCTGCCGCCCACAGCCAAGTCCCCTGATGCACGCAGGCGGACTGCCCGGCAGAGTCGGGGAGGCCCCCTGCTCCCTTCAGGTGACGCTGAAGTTTGTGTCGCAAACCTCGTCCCAGGGCTTCCTGGCCTTGGCACCCCGACACGTGGGTTGGCTCCATTCTGTGTACTGTGGGGTGCAGAGCAGCATCGCAGCATCCCTGGCCTCCACCCCGACACCAGTAGCATTCCCTCCAGTAGTGACAACTAAAACTGTCCCCAGACACTGCAAATGTCCTTTGCAGCACAGACCGCTCAGGTGAGCTTCCTGGTGCGGCCCGAGCATCGACAGGGCTGTGGGGGTGCCGGGGGCCAGGGCGAAGCTGAGCCTTTTGTGTGTACCCCCCACCCCAGTGACAGGAGAGTCCCCTCCCAGCCTCTCTAAAGAACTGACCAGCACGCTGGCCGGGGTCGGTGATGTCAGCTTCGACTCTGACAACCAGTTCCCCCTGGACGAACTCAAGATTGACCCCCTGACCCTGGATGGACTGCACATGCTCAATGACCCAGATATGGTCCTGGCCGACCCGGCCACCGAGGACACCTTCCGGATGGACCGTCTGTGAGCGGGTCGTGCAGCACATGGCCGCCCAGCCCCCGGCTCTGTCACCCCGCCGGCCAGTGGTCTCGACGGCATCGCCCCGAGCCTGGGGACAGCGGCGCTCCGTCCCTTGCAAACGGCCGAGCTTGTGATTCTGAGCTTGCAATGCCGCCAAGCGCCCCCCGCCCGCCCCCCCGGTCGTCCACCTCCCGCGTGAGGCCGCGCGTCGTTGCCCCCGCGGACCCTCCCTGCTCTCTCATCCCCTGTAAGCTGCGGGAAGCGTGCTGGGCAGGGCTGCCAGCCTCGGTGGGCACCACGCTCCGCGACGGTGGTGGGCTGAGGTGCATCTTGCGACTGTTGTCCAGCTCTCACTGCCTTCCTTTGTCCCTGGTCCCCCTACCTGCCCGTGCCCCCAGCCCTTGGTTAGGTAGCGAGCCAGCCCCACCCTGCCAAAGGGAGAAAGTGCCAGAGAGAGGGGGGCGGACGTGAAGCGAAATAAACACTATTTGGACTGCTGTCTTTTATATTTCTGTGCACACACAGAAGGCTAGCATCCATCGCACGGAGGTGGGATGCAAACATGTGAACAGCATGGGAAGCAGCTAAGTCTCCTCCAGGGTCCCTGCCTCACCCGCCCACCCCCCACCCTCCGGCCAGGCCCCTCTGTGGCCACCTGTGCTGTGACACCCCCACCCCAGCCTGTCGGGGACGCACGTGGAGGCAGATATTTCTAGGGGGGGGTTGCAACTTGTTTCATCTTTCTTTCTTTGTACTGTGGTCACTGTTACTATTATTTAAAGAATGGGGTGGGGAGGGGGTGGCCAGGGCATTTTTTGTTGTGTTTCTTTTCGTTTGTTTCTTTTGGTTTGTATTTACATTTTGGTTGTGGATGAGTAACTGACTCCTTCAAGCCAACGCTTGCCTGAGAGCATGTTTTTTTTTTACTCTAGAAATCCAACCTTATATACTTGTGAGCTAACTGGAAGCAGCCTGCTGCCTGCCCAGATCTGAGCTGCATCTCCTGTCTTTTTAGTTTTGCTCCGTTATCCCAAACCAGAAAGATGGGAGGTTAGGCTGGCCTGGGCGGACACTCGGGTGAAAGCTGGCGGCAGCGGCCGGAAGTGCCTCCCCTCCGGTCCCATAACCGACTTCCGAGGAGGAGCCCCGGCTTGCATCAAGGGTCTCCTGAAGGTGCCAGCCAGTCCTCAGGGTGGGTCCGCCCCAGACCCCGTGGCTGGCGGCAGCTGCAGCCCCTCTGCTCTGAGGCGCCCCAGAGACGAGCCTGTCCCCGGCAAGCCCGCCCCGAGAACCAGCCAACATTCATTCTCTCCCACCATCTTTTTGGTGGCCCCTCCCGGCAGGGCTGGCCTTGGAGGCAAAGAGCGGTGTGCATTTCAGAGGATGGTTTCCAGGTGCTTCTCAAGTGCCTCAGGAGGCCCAGGTGACCATCTGTCCGGCTCACTGGTGCCCCAGAGGCCGTCCGTCTGCCCTCCAGGCCCTGCGAGCGGGCAGCAGGCCTGGTTTCGCATTGTTCTGCTCTGGAGCCGGAACCTCTGTTTCGTTCCCTCCGACACCGCATCTTGAGTTCTTACTTGTTCCTCTGCCTGCCAGCCGGGCTGGCCGCTCCTGCCTGCTGCGTTTCCACCTCCATCAGGGTCTCCGGAGCTCCCGCCTCGTGGCCGTCCCTCTGTCGTCCCCTAGCTGGGCTGTTAGCACATAGCCAAGTGGCCACGCCCACGGGAAGCCCCCTGTCCTGTCACTTGACCCCCACCGCTGTTGTCTGGCTGGGGGACACAGTGTCAGTCCATCGGGGTCAGGGGCCTGTCCTCTTTTCGTGGTGGGGGCTGGGGTCAAAGAATGGGGACTGGTTTTGTTTTGTTTTGTTTTTTTAAGAAGAACTACATGTACATAGAAGGGTTTGATTACCATTAGACTTGTATGTAGAACTTTTAAAAAAATGGCCTTAATAAAATTACAAACAACCTTCCTGGATGCAACTTTCAAACAAGGCACTGGGGACCCCATGAGGGAACCCCGTCAGCCCGCACTTCCCATCGGCCCAGCACTGGGTTCTTGGTGCAGGTGGGCAGGGAAGGAGGGGTGTCCAGCCCCGTGGCCCGTTTCTAGCATCCCTTGGCCAGGAGCACAGGTGACTTTGTATTAACACGGCAGCCTCGGCCCATGAGGGGCGTGGGTGCAGAGCTTTCCTGGGGAGGGGACCCAGCCAGAAACCAGTGGCCAGGCATCCTCAAAGGATTCACTGCCCCCTCCTAGCGCCAGGCAGGCCTTTGTGGGGAGGGGGGTCTACAACAGGGGATTTGGGTTTTTTCTTAAATATCACTTCTCTACTAAGTATTCTTGAATTGCCAAGACTTTTAGAAACAGGACAGCTTAGGGGAATCAGCCCTTTGACTTGTGATGTGAAAATACTGTGATTTCAGGCGAGCTGCGCCGTGAGGGGTGAGCCGGGGCCCCTGTGTCGTGTACATAGACCCGCCACCGCGTCCTCGCTCGCTGCGGCTGAGCTCCCCTTATCTGTTCCTCGGGAGCACGCGCCATGCCTCGGTTTGCCCCCTGCCCTCTGAGCCCCCAGGATGGGGAGTGTGTCCCCACCATGAGGATGGGACCTGGGATCAGCCTCTTTCTGTGTTGCCCAGAGAGGAGAGTTTATATCCCTGCCCCCCAACCCCCGCCCTTCAGCTTCACCCCCTGCAGTGCCCAGGATGGACTTGGGGGAGGAGAAGGTGGGTCTCTGGGTCACACCCCTGTCACAGGTGCCCGTGAGGACGTGTGCCATTACCAGAGGGGGGACGGCAGCACTGCTGGGGTAGATTGCAGCACCCTCTCCACTTTCCCAGCTCACCTTGCTCCTGCCAGCACTCTCCTGAGCAAGAAGGGTGGGGGCCAGCCCCTTGGGGTAGAGGGCCCTGAGACCCTCAGTGGAAAACTCAGGGGGCAGGTATATCCTTCAGCAAAATTTGGGGACCCACAGCCAGTAGTACCCAGAAGCTGGCCAGGCTCCTTGCTGGGGACAGACGCACAGCAGAAGGGACCCTGACTGCATTGGGTCCAGCCCCCACCCCCACTGCAGTCCACAGAGCTCCCTGGGAGCAGGCCGGAAGGCCGGAAGGCAGGGGCGGGGGGTGTGTTCATGGCCCTTTCCCTAACGCCGCCTCCCCACTGGCCGTAGGGCAACCTGCCTGCCTGGTGGGCGTGCACAGGGGCTGGGAGCCCGGCTCTGGGTGCTTGGCTGGCTTTTATATGCTGTTACCTACTTGTGGATTTTAAGGGCTGAGCCAGGAGAGTTATGACATTCTAGGTGTGTTGGGCCTGATTGCTTCAGGCGGCCAACCTCCGAGGAGGATGGCTGGCCAAGTGGGCCCGTCATGAAGCCCATGTGTCACATGGGGGTGGGCTAGGATGGCTGCCCATTTGTCTGTCCATCAGATGCTGGTGAGACCCTTGCATGGAGGATGAGAGGTCCTGTGTCGTCTGTCCGTCCTGCCAGGGTAGCTGTCCGGCGTTGGGGCTGTGTGCCAGGTGCTGGCTGGCTGTGGCCTGGTCACGGGAGATGGGGGTAGGTGTGAGGCCCATGGCGGGGCTGGGCAGGGCTCAGGCAATGGGGACGGCGCCCTCTGTCCAGCCTGAAGAGTCCCTGAGATCACTGCTCCTTGGGCTTCTGTGGACCCAGAGACCTCCGGGGGCTGAGTTCTCCTGGGATGCTACACTTCTCCCCAGATTGCCACACCTGGGCTGACCCTGAGCTAGTTCATAACCAGACATGCTGCCGACCTCCTACCCCGACTCCGGATTCTGACTTTCCTGCATGTCCAAAGAAGGCGTCCCCACCCCAGGGTGCAGGCTGGGCGTGGTGAGGCCTGGTGGGGTTGGGAGACCCTCCACCTCCCCTGCCCCCACCCCAGTCATGACAAAATGGGAGCACTCCCCCACTCCCTGGGTTCTGAGGGAGCTGTGGTCAGAGGCCTCGGGGTACCCTTGGCATGGGGTTAGGGCACAGAGGTGCCAGATCAACGGTACCTGGTGCTCTTGGGCATGATGCTTCAGGTGAGGGTGGTGTGGCCGTCGGAGCCTGCACTCCCGCCGCACCACCTGAAGAGCTGGATGGGGGGGGGGGGGACTGGGTGCCTTGCCTACGCTGGGAGGCCTGCCTGGGGTGAGTGGGCAGCCTGGTCTGTTTCTGCCCTGTTCCGCTCTCAGTGGACCCTGGGCCCCCCCCCACCAAGGGGTCTCTCAGTGTATGACAGGGGTCCCTGCGATGTTCCTTTGTCAGTTTGGCCTGAGCCAGCTCTTTTTGGTTTCCTTCAGCTTTTGGGGGTCCTGGCTGGTGGGGCTCAGGCACTTCTCGTAACCATTGTTGTGCCACAGGTGCCTGGCACAGACAGGAATTCTCCCCCAGCAGAGGCAGGGTGACCTGCACCCCCAGGCCTGGGCACTGGGGTACCTCTGAAGGCGCCAGGGGGTGGGCAAGACTCTTGCGACCCAGGCGTCAGTTCCTTCTTGTCCTTAGGAGCTCAGGCCCATGGTCTCTGGGTCCCAGGCTCGTCCCAGGCAGGGTAGGAGACAGGGGCTAGATGTTAGGAGCTGATTCCAGGCAGCTCCCCCCACCTTCTACCCAACTGACCAGCGCCCAGCACCCTGTCCCCAGGAGCCAGATATGGGGGTTGCCCTCCTCTCACAGGGTTGTGGAATCTGGGGGCAGTCGATGCCCAGCCTGTCATTTCTGACCTCCTGCCAACTGGGGACAAGGGGACACAGCTGTGGCACTTGCCACCAGACTTCGGGAGGGAGGGCTTTGGCAGCTGAGGTCCGCTGACCCTGCCGCGCCCTCCGCAGGAAACTGCCCTTCCCCTTCCAGGAGCTGGGCAGTGCCACTGATATATGCAAACCCTCCAGTCCCGACCCTGTCCCACCTGTGTCCCTCTCCCCAGGCTGGCTCTGCCCCCCCCCCCCAGCATGTACATTGTGCCGTAGATGTCCCGTGGGCTGCACGCGTGGGTGCCCACAGCGGGCGGGGGCGGGCGCTCAGGGCGCACTCGGCCAGCCCCTGCCCATCCTTTCTGGCGTGGACGCTATCGTCTTTGTACCTTTGCATCCTTTGTAATGAAACGTAATAAAAATTCACTGTTTTCGTCTCTGCCTCCTCCCTTTTTTCCCTCCCCTCTTCTCCTGCCTCAAGGATGAGATGTTGGCTTTGCAGGTGCGCCAGGTGGGAGCTGCCCAGAGACCACACACACGTGAACACAGACACCCAGGCCTTGAGCCCCTCACACACACACACACACTGCAGGATCCCAGCCCAGATGCTCCAGGGGCACGGAGGGGATGAAGCAGCGGGCCTGGGGTCTGAAAATCAAGGCCTGACACCCCCAGTCAGGCTGCCAGGGCCCCAGCCGGTCAGCGGGGAGTCAGTGGCAGTCCCCACCCCCACTGCCTGAGTTTGGGGTCTCTGGTCCAGCCTCCCCTCAGAGACTCGACCCTACCATCTCCCCGAAGCAGAGGCCACAGCCAGCCCCTCCGCCACACAGACACACTTTATTTTGTCGTCCCTGAGCCCCTCTCCTTCCCTCCCAGGCTGACTGCCTCCTGGGGCCTGATGCCGATGACCTCCCATGGGGAGGGCAGCCGCGAGGGTGGCTGTCATCCAGTGGCGGGTCCCCAACCCCATCCCTAGGCCTGCAGCAGCCTCTGGGCCTCGTAGTCCTCGGGGATGGTGTCTGTGGAGAGAGGGTGAGCAGGTGAGAGGCGGGTGAGGGTAAGGGGTGCAGACTCCCCGCCTTCCCTGATGGGGGTCCTCTTACCGTTGCAGCGGTAGCGCAAGTTGGCCCAGATGATGTTCTCCTGGGAGAAGCAGAAGACGCCCAAACGACCACCCCTCATGGTCGTATCCAGGACCACGTTGCTGTCTGCCACCAGCTCTGGGCCCTCGTAGAATCGCACTCTGCGGGGGAGGAGGGGACCATGACTCGGGGCCCTAGGCCAGGCTCTCCCCTCTCAGAGCGTCAGCACCCTGCCCAGTGAACTAGCTTCTTTTGTCTAGGAGAGGGGACTGTGTCTCCCTGCCTGGGCCACACTCAGGGCGAGGGGGCTCCTGATCTGAGCCTCAGTTCCCCTGTGTGAGGATGGATGTGCAGGGCGAGCATACAGTAGATGCTAAACCTAGCACCTGGACTTCCTGGCAGCGCAGAGTGGGAACTGAGAAACGGGGAGTGGGTGAGACCCCACCTTCTGCTATGTATGTGCAGCATTCACAACCCCCCAGCCCTGCCTGGGTCCAAGCCACCCAACCTGGCCCCGCCCTTCCGGAGTCCAGGCCCGCCCCTGTCCCGCCTCCCCTCTGGGCCCGTCCACTGAGCAGCTCTCTGCAAGACCTGAACCCTCCCCATGTCCTCAGAGCGGTATCATAGCCACCGGGCCAAACAGTTATTTCTACCTATATTATTCCCATTTTACAGGTAAGGGGACCAAGGCCCCCGGAAGCAACCCCCTCCCACAAGAGCCAGGTACAAGCAGGGACTCGGGGCCCCTTGGCGGAGGGCGGGTTCCCACCTGATGTAGCCCACTTGGGGCCGGTGCTGCAGGAACCAGCGGTAGGATGTCTTGTCCTTCCAGCCCACGTTCCTGGGATCCTTCCACAGCAGCCGCACCTGTGACTCTGTGTCCCCTGTGTGCCACAGTGCATTCCGAAGCTGCTCCCCAGGGCCTGTGGAGGACTTCACAGCCTATCACACCCAGGAAGAGGGGAGTGGGGTCAGGGGCCATACAGGCCACAAGGCCCCCAGACAGGCACGGAGCTTTGAGTCATAGAGGAGTGGTGGGAGGTCCCTGGTATGCCTGGATGGGAGACTCCCAAGGAAGCCTTGAGGGCCACATGGAGGTTTGCAGGTAGGTTATAGGGGCAGCAGTGGTTGGTAGGATAAACTAGAGTATAGAGGACTTGGGGAATTTTAGGGTTTCAGTGAAATACTGGGGTCCGGGTGGCGCTAGTGGTAAAGAACACGCCTGCAATAGAGGAGATGCAAGAGATGCGGGTTCCGTCCCTGGGTCGGGAAGATCCCCTGGAGGAGGGCACGGCACCCCACTCCAGTATTCTTGCCTGGAGAATCCTATGGACAGAGGAGCCTGGCAGGCTACAGTCCATGGGGTTGCAAAGAGTCGGACACAACTGAGCACATCTATTCTATTCTAGGGAGTCTGCAGGAGGATTTGGAACCTGAGAGAAAGTTTAGGGCTCTGTGAGAGGGTTTGGGTGCCCACGGGAAGACTAGGGGATCCTGGGGGAATGTTTGAGGGCCTGTGGGAGGACCTGGGAGGATTTCGGTAGAAGGACTTTGAGGGCCTTAGGATAATGCCAGGGACTGTAAGGCTTGTGGATCTGTGGAAGGGTCGGGGCCTCAGAGAAGGCGCTGAAACCAAGAGTTCGGGAAGGGGCCAGCACCTTGAGCTGGATGCCGGGTTCTGCCACCGCACGGAAGGGGTTCGCCTGCCAGTACGTCTGCTCCATCTGTTTCCACATGACCACATAGAAGCTGGAGCTATCCTGGTAGCCAAAGATGAAACCAGCGTAGTCGTCATCTGTGGCAGTGTTCACGTGGAACGTGCCTTCGAAATCCACGCCATTGAAGGCCGTGTAACCTGGGGAGAGGAAGGCACACTAGCCTCTGTCCTACCAGGATCCGAATCCCTCCCCGAACGGATCTGCCCCTTCGGAGTACAGACCGCCCAAGCCGAGTCCAGACCACCTAACCTGGCTCCGCCTTTCCTGAGTCCAGGCCCGCCCCTGTCCCGCCGCTCCTCCGGCCCCGCCCCCCGAGCAGCTCTGCGAGGCTTGGCCTCCCCGCGTCTCACCCACAGCCAGGCCGGGGTCGCTGTTCATCGTCTGCACGATCTCCATACCCTGGTGAGGTTCAAAGGAAGAAGGGTGTCAGGCCAGGAGGACCCGGCTCCCCGCCCCCAGTTTAGGACCCGCTGTGGTGGTCCTGGGCTCCCCCTACTTCCCACCTAGTCCTCGCCCCCACCTGGTTGAGCACCACCCAGTTAGGGTCTATCTGTGCGTCGCCCTCAGGGTCCAGCACGACTGTCTGGAAGGCCCGGAAGTCGGTGAGGGTGACCTCAGCGTTCTCCGGACACACATCGATCTTGTCTACCACCTTGTCTGCATCAAAGTCGCCCTGGCACGCGTCGCCCACGCCGTCCCCTGAGAGGAGGTGGGAGGGCCCCCCACAATGATAGAATGAGCTCCAGGCCTTGCCCCAGGCCTGGCCACGCCCATACAAGCTACGGGCCCTGCCCATGCCACGCTTCCAGCTCGGCTCACAAGTGCCACTGCCCCACCATGCCCACCCCAAACCTCACCCTGGCACCATCCCCACTGCAGGCCCTGCATCCGCCCTTACGGTCCACATCTTCCTGGCCCGGGTTGGGCACCAGACGGCAGTTGTCCCTACTGTCAGGGACCCCATCGTTGTCGTCATCATCATCGCAGGCGTCACCCTGGCCATCGTGGTCTGAGTCCTGCTGGGCACTGTTGGGCACTGTGGGGCAGTTGTCCCTCGAGTCCTGGTGGCCATCCCCATCCCTAGAGTGGGTGGAGCAGGGACAATGAGACCCCAGAAAGCCGGGTCAGGTGCTGCCCACCCTGGGTCCCCACCTCAGCCCCAGATGGCCTGCTTACTGGTCTTGGTCGCTGTCACAAGCATCGCCCACGAAGTCGTGGTCCACATCACTCTGGGGGCCAGAGGAGGAGGAGGATACAGACGTTTATAATCAGGGCAGAAGAATTCAGAAGCCTCTCCCCCACCCCCAGTTCCAGAGCCAAGATCTTCTTGAGCCCAAGCAACACCGCCCAAATTGTTCAGACTGGGCTGGAGTCTTGTTAACCAGCCTGGGACTCACCCTGGGGGCCTGACCCAGCTGGAATCTGGCCTACACTCACCTGGTCTGCGTTGCTCTTCTGAGGACAGTTGTCACAGGCATCTCCTACACCGTCCCCATCGGTGTCCTTCTGATCTGAGTTGGGCATCCTGGGGCAGTTGTCCACCGGATTGCGGATCCCTGAGAGAAGCCAGGGAACAGAACCGGATCCCCAGATGGGGACAGGGCCAGGCTGACTTCAGCAGAGCAGGTGCAGACCTGGGGTTAGCCTGGGACAGAGTCCCCACTCCACCTTTGGCTCCCAATAACTACAAAGTTAAACCAAGTATTCGTGCCCAGTCCCCAGCCTCCTGGAGACTAAATGAATGGAGCGGTGAAGGGACTGGCTCAGTGTGCGCACCACTTTGAGTCTCTGCCCGGATGTGAAAATGGTACCTCCTCCATGGGGCCCTGTTCCCCGTGCTCACGGCTCTGTCCTCTTTCCCCCTGCAGCATCTAACACAGGGGCCCCCTTTCCCTTGGCCTCCCAGCTTGCATTTCTGCCCGTGGAGCAGGATCCCTGGCGCCCTAGGCGAGCTCACCTGCTCCGGCTTCCAGAAGAGGCCGAGCCCAGCCTCCAGCCAAACCCCACCCCTTGGTGCCTGCCTTTCCCTCTCCTCTCCTCCCCTGCCCAGAACTTACGGTCGCCGTCTATGTCGTCGTCACAGGCGTCGCCTCGGCCGTCCTTATCTGTGTCCTTCTGGTCGTCGTTCTTCTGGGACCGACAGTTGTCACACGCATCGCCCCACTTGTCGCCATCCGTATTTCGCTGGTCTGGGTTCCGCACGAGTGGGCAGTTGTCCTAGAGGTGAAGGCCGGTTAGGGGATAGGCAGTCCTAGGGAGTCAAAAGTCACTCCCCAGACTGTCCAGCTCCGAGGCCCCGCCTTCTCTGCATACCCCCTGCAGTCCTTTGGGACCCCCGAGATCAGCTTCTGAGGCCACACCTGTCACCCGGAGACACGCCCCCACCCGGTCTCGCCCAGGCCCCCACTTTTGCCCCACCTTCTCATTGAGGACGCCGTCCCCGTCGGCGTCTGGGTCGCAGGCGTCTCCGATGCCGTCTCGGTCCACATCCTCCTGGCCTGAGTTGGGCACCGTCACGCAGTTGTCCTAGGGGTGGGCACGGCGGGCGTTAGGGGCGTGGCCAGCAGCCCCGCCCACCTCCCAGCAGGCCACGCCCTCCAGGCCGCCCCCACCTTTCTGCACTGGCGCTCAGAGCAGCGTAGCTTCTCGTCCGGAAAGCCATCCAGGTCCGTGTCGCGGCCGCAGAGGAGCCCATTGCCAGCCCAGCCGACGGCGCACTGCGGGCGAGGGAGTAAGTGGGTGCTCTGGCGTGGCCCTGCTACACCCGCACCTTCATCCCGTTCCACTCCTGGCCCGCTCGCACTCACCACGCAAGATCGCGACCCATCACGCTCCAGGACGCAGTCGGCCTTCTCGTGGCACGGGCTGGGCGTGCCGTCAGGGCAGAAGCGCTGTGGCCGCCGACGGCAGCCCGATGCCTGGTCGCCCACGAAGCCGGGCTGGCACGGGCCACACTGGAAGGAGCCCTGAGCCCGGGCCGCAGGAGGTCAGCCCCCGCCGCCTGACACTTCCGCCCCAGCCCCCATCTCCCAGTCCCTCCTTCCCGCAGGCCTTACCACGGTATTGACGCAGACGGAGTTGGCGACGCAGTTATGCTGCCCGGTCTCACACTCGTCAATGTCCGTACAAACCTGGGTGCGAGGGAGCGCACTGGTCAACGTTCCCAGGCAGGTACCCCAGACCTCCCACCCAGTTCACGAATCCCTCTGAATCCTACCTCCAGTCCCGACCATCCCTGATGGGAAGCCTTTCACTTCCTCTTCCCCAGACTCTTGTCCCCATCCGTTGCCCCTGGAGCCAAGCAGGCTGCGAGGCTGGAGTTTACTTAACAAAATGCCCCCCAGCCCGAAATGCTCCTCCTGGCTCTCCAACCCCCGTCGGCCCTCACCTGTTTGTTGGCCTTGGCGAAGGCCAGCCCCACGCCCTTGTGGGCGGGGCCGCTGAACCCCGGTGGGCAAGCCTCGCAGCGGAAGCCCGGACTGGTATTGATGCAGCGGACGCGAGGGAAGCAAGGATGGGCGGTGCACTGGAGGAGGAAGGGCCGGGGAGGATCAGAGGACGAGGAGCTGGGCCTTCCCGAAAGAGGCGCCTTAGGGCTCGTTGGACTTGTAAAGTTCAAGGGCCATCAGCTAGCTATAGGAGGGAGGGGGTGCCATGTGGGGCAGAGGCTATTGTCCCAGAGGTCACACACGGCTTTGCTTTGACGTGGGAAAGGGCAAGACCAGGCAAGGAGAGGGGGCTGCCTGGAGCGGGGCTGTCTCTGGGACCTGGTGGGCTGGGTGCTCATGGACGGCGGAAGAAATTTTGAGGGCGGGCGTCCCCAGCGGAGGGGGGAAGTGGTCGTCGGGGCGTGCGTGCGCGTCGGTGAGGAGGTTGCCGGGGCGGGGGCGCCCCGGTGGTGGAAGGGTCGCTGGGGTCGGCGACCCTGGTTGGTGGTGAGTGGGGTCGTTGAGGGGGACCACTCCCGGCGGTAGGGGAGCCGTCGGGGCGGACGTCACTGGCTACGGAGGAGGTCGTCAGGGTGGGCGTCCCAGGTGGAGAGGGGCGTGGTAGGGGTGACTGTCCCCCGGCGGTGGGGAGGTCGTCTGGACGTGCGCCCTCAGAGGTGAGGGGGTCCTCTCCCGGAGGACCCCCAGCGGACGAGGAGGTCGTCGGGGCGGGGCGGTGGGGAGTTGTGGGGCAAGCGTTGGGGGTTGGTCGGGGCGGTGGTGGCAGACGCACCTCGTTGACGTCGGCGCAGTGCGAGCCGTTGCCTGTGAAACCTTCGGGGCAGGGTCCGCAGCGCGCGCCGCTGGCTGTCTCGGTACAGGCCACTCCGGGGAAGCAGAAGCCGGGCGAACACTGGCTTAGCGGCCGTACCGTCAGTCTGGGGGTGCGCGCGGGTTGCATCCCTGCAGGGAGTGGGGCGAGAGTGGTTAAAGCCACGCCCAGGGGTGGAGCCTATCGAGACAGAGCCTCCCATCTAGGCAAGATTCTGACTGTTCCGCGACCCCGCCCCGTACTGAGTGCTCGGCTCTCCAGGTCTCTGCAGTCTCTGGATCTCTGCGGCCGACCGTTTTTTTCCGCTTCTCCTTGCGCGACTCCACCTCCCAGCATCTCTCGCAAGGTTTCTGGCTCTTTGGGGGGGTCTCCTCCTCCCACAGTCTCTGTCTCTCCTTTCTGTTCCTCTCTCTCCATCTCTCATCCCATCTCTCCACCTCTGTCAGCCTCCGTCTTCTTCTCTGTCTCTTTTGCTCCCGGTCTGTCCTCTGCCCTCTGGATCTGTTTCTGTCTCCCCATCTCTTCTCGCTCCCCGGCCACCCCGTCTCCGCTGCCCCGGCTGCGCTCACCGCACGCGTCACACTCCATCACCGTGTTTTTCAGGAACGTAATCTCCTTGACCTTTGGTGCAAGCGAGATGGGGTGTGGTCAGCGGGGCTCCATCCTTCTCCTCCCCCGCCGGTCTCCCCTCTCCCTCTCTCAGACTCCCTCCCCATGGCACCACCGTCGCGGACTCTCTCCCTACAGGACTCCCTACTCCCAGATCCCTACTCTCCCAGCCCCTTTTCTTCCTTCCCTGGGATTTCCTTCTCCCCTCACGGATCCGTACCCTCTCCCGTAGAACGCCGCATCCCTGGGACCCCCACCCCCTTCCTTTCCATAACCCCGGCCCCTCTTCACCTCCATCAGGAACAACTTCTCCAGTCCCCTCCCACTCCCCCACCCTCCCCTGCCTCCGAGACCCACTTCCCCTCTTCCAAGTTTCTGTCTTCTCCCCTGCACCCCAGCCCCCCAACCCCGGCGGGCACCTGCTGCCTCAGGAGGTCCCGTACATCCTGCAGGGCCGCGTTGGTCTCCTGGAGTTCGCGCAGCATCTGCGGGCCCAGGTCCCCACCTGCGCTGACAGGGGGCGCTGGTGGGGCGTCGGGGACCGGCGACCCCCATCACCACTCCTCACCCCGCCGCCGCAGGGACCCCTGAGGCGCACCCCATTTCTTGAGCTTCTGCCCCACTGCCTGCTGTCTCCACCCGGCGCGCCCCGGGGAACTTTCCCAGAGCCTCAAGGAGCCGCGACCCCAGGCCTCCCCCGAGTCCTGTCCTGGGGGTCAGAGGCACGGCATGGGCGCAGAGAGGCTTACCCAGCGGCGTCTGCCCCTGGCCTGATGCGCCGAGGGCAGCCAGCGTGAGCAAGAGAACGCGGGCGGCGGCGAGAACCATGACGGCGGCGGGAAGCTGGACTGCGGCTCGCTCTCTGCCGCCCACGAGGCCCGAGCGGCCTATTTATCCCGGCGGCGCGGCCGGCCCGGGGGACGGCCCACCGCGGCCCTGCCCAGCTTCCAGCCACAAGGTAAACAGACGGCGCTGGCCTCCGCGTTCAAGGCCCCGCCCAGCGCTGCTGAACCCGGATCGGGCGAGGAAACTGAGTCAGCGGGGGCTTGGGCTGAGGTTGATGGGGCGGGGAATCTGTCAGGACCGCCCTCCAGCCCTCTCATTCACTTGTTTGAGAGACGGCTGCGTGCCAAGCATCCAGCCTAGCTGGAAACGACGAAGCGAGCCCCATAGCGGCTCCCCTCAGTTCACACTTGGGGAAACTGAGTAAAGAGTGGCTTAAGGTTAGGAGTTACCCCNCCCCCCCCCCCCCACCAACCCCTTTCTGGTCTTTCCTCTCTACAGGTCTCTGGCTGATGAGTAGGCGGTGGTGACACCCTGATGGCCCAGAGGCCGGAGCCCACTCAGTCACCCGGTCTGTGCACGGGCCTGTGTGTGTCCCTCCCCACAGGAGGGCTCGCAAATTAAGGGACTCCGGCTGGAGGAGGGCTGAAGGGGAGCCCTGTGCTTCTGTTTGTCGAGACTTTGCCCATACCATCGCAGCTCCAGCCCAGCTCTGTGGGAACAGCCTGTAATAAAAATAGAAATTATTGCTAATCAGGAAAATCCTCCCAGCCCAGCCATGCTCTTCAGCTACAAAACACCTCTGTTTTCTGGTATTAACCTTCTCTACTGCTACCCTCCAGTGTTTGCAGCCTCTATTCTGTAAGCAGGGAAACTGAGGTCCAGAGAGGCGAAGCAACGAGCTGAAAGCTACTGTGAGGGGCAGAGATGAAGCCAAGGTAAGGTCATTGCCAGATCTGTTCTAGTGGGAGGTTGCAGAGAAGTCACTGAGGGCTTCCTGGAGGAGGTGGCAAGAAATCTAAAGGAAGGAGGACTCAGATCAGGAGATAAAAAAGGTGAGGACAATTCTGGCAGAGAGAAACATGTGAAGCTTGAAGTTGGGGATATTTCAGCCACATTCGTTCGTTCCACAAACGCATTGACATCTGCTGTGTGCCATGTCCTCTGCAGGAGGCTGGGGACACACAGAGGACAAGCCAGATCGGGCTCCTCCCTAGTGGGGAGCCCACCTACATAATCGTCCCAAGGGACCGGCAGCAGTGGGAGCTCCAAGAGGGTGCCTGACTCAGCTTGGGGCATCAGGGGGAGTCTGGGGAGGGTTCTTAGAAGAGGAGGGAACACAGAGCTATGACCAGGAAGGTGAAGAGACCACAGTCAGATAAAGGCATTCTAGCTAGAGAAACAGGATGTGCAAAGGCCCTGAGACAAAAGTGTGTCTGGTCTGCTGGACAGATTGATCTCAGGGTAGAGAGATCTTGGGGCTCAGGAGAACGGGTACCAGGTGGTCCAGGGCTTGGGCTGTCTCCTGAGGGCAATGGGGAACCGCAGAGCATGCGTGAGGAGTGGTGGGTCTAGAGGGGGCGCTGAACAGAAGGAGCCAATCCCAACCTGGGCACTTCTAGTGAAGCCTGTCCCCTGATGCCTGTGGCAGGGCCGTGAGCTCACCTCCTGTTTCCCTTGGCATTCGGCACCCCTGGGGGCCGCTCCTGGCTGGTGCTGGGGTTCTTGGGAAAACCACGGCTCCAGGAGGGCCTCTGGGCTTGCGTGTGCCTCATGCAGCTAGGACAAGGGCACATGGAAGCCAAGCCCCTGCCACAGGCTTGGCATGGGGCTAGAAGTGTGGACACACATGGCCTTGTTCATGGCTGGGCCATGAGGAGTTGTGAAGAAGAACATTCTAGGCAGAGGGAATGGCGAAGGCGGCAGTCCTGAGGATGTCCCAGTCTGCGGATCAGACAACAGAGGCCTGGAGCCAGGCACTCTGGTTTCATGTTCCTGCTTTCTGGATCCCATTAGCTCTGAAATCCCACTTCTAGGCAGCAGCCCCCTCCACCCTTGCACACCTTGGCAGCCTCTCATTACACACTTACTCACTCTGGGTGAACTTCCAGCCCTTGTACCTGCTGTTCCCCACCATCCCAAATACCTTCCTCCTTCCTCCAAGATCTGGCTCTGATGCCCCCTCCTTCAGGAAGCCCTCCCTGCTCTTCTTGGGCAGGGCTTAGGGGCTGTGCGACATTCCCCTAAGATGCCAGAATATTTCTGGCAGAGACAGGATGACCTCACCCGGGGGACTGGGGATGTCTGTGTTTTGTTCTGTTCCCCTTTCCCGGGTCCCCCCTGGGCCTGCAGAGAGCCCTGCCCCGATGAGTGTCACATGGTTCTTAGTTCTTATAATTCATGTACCATCGTTACTATTAATAATAGTAACCCCTGCTACCGCTGTGCTTTATGACAGACTCAGGAGCCGCATGGCCTGGGTTCAAGTGTCAGCTGGGCATAGCCTCACTGTGTGACCTAAGGCAAGTTGCTTGACCTCTCTGTGTCTCAATCGCCTCACCTAGAAAGTGGGAGTGATCACTGCTGAGAGGACTGGATGAGCTCAGCGTCTACCTCCAGTGTTAGCCTCATTATACAATATGGAACTTATACACGATGTCGGTTATACCTCAGGCCGTTTTTACTCACATTTTCCTCAGAGAGGGAATGAGACAGCTCAAGGTCACACAGCCAGGATTAGACCTGGAGAAGGCAGGACCCCTGAGGCCTTCACACCACCCCTCTCTGCCCTTGGCCACAGATTGCAGGGGAGAAACGCTAACCCAGGCCCCTCATTAGCTGTGAAGACTGCTGCCTGGGACCTCCTGGCCTGAGCCCTTGGCTGGCGCCCCAGCCAGCCCCCCTTCCCACCACGCTAGACCCAGCGGTTCCAGGAGCCTGGCCAGACTCGGGCAGAGGGGCTGGTGCCTGTGTGATGAGGCCTCGGAGCCCTCCCTGGCAGAGTTCTGCTGGGCCAGGAGACATGTGGGCGCCCCCCGCTTGCCCAGCCGCCTCTCCTGTGAATCCAGAGGGAAAGTATGTCGGGAAGGCAGCCGCCCTGCCCTGGGCGGGCCCAGCCACAGGCTCAGGGTCTGGGGAATTCATTAGAGCAGCGAGGGAGGCCACTTAGCCACTGCTGGATCTGCGGCTGAGGAGCCTGACCCAGCCTGCCTTGGACGGCCCGGCTGGACCCTGCTCTCCAGAAGGACCAAGCAGTGGGGTGAGGGGCAGTGGGGCAGAAAGGGTGCCATCCGGGCACTGGAATCTGGCAGAACCCCCCGACTTGCTCTGTGAGTTCTGGCAAGCCCTGACTCTTTCCCCATCCTTCATTTGCTCTGACTGTGTCGTCATTTGCCTCAGGCTCTCCAAAAGGTATGATAAAGAAGAAAATAACAATAAATATAATGGCTACAATTTTATTGAGCAAGTGCCAAATGCTCGAAAACTTGCCACATCACTTTTGTGGGTTTTCCCTTTTTGTCCCCTCTCCTCACGGCGCCACGGGGCAGGAACTGACCATCATGGGAGACAGCAGGAGACTGCCAGGAAGTCTTGGTCTCTGGCACCAGGAGCCTGAGTTTCATATCCCACCTCTGCTGTGCAGCTTCAGACAAGTTGCTTAACATCTCTGTGCCTCTTTTCTTTTTTTCTTTTTTATGGGGTAGGGGAGGGTACCTTCAAAGGTAGATTTACTTTTAATAATAATGTAGATTTTTGCTTCTCCAGTTTAGAGAATGGACTGCAGAGTTGCCTCAGGGGAGAAAGGACTTCACTAGGAACCAGCTGGAATTTAATGATGTGGCATTCAATGGGCATTGACTTCTGAGAATGGTTTTACATCACTATTATCTTCAGAATTTTCCAGGGATAACTGTGGCTGGACAAATGACCACTTTACTTTTTCCTCCTCTCCTCTCACATTTAATGAGAGTTTTGTAGGTAACAGTAAAACAAACCAGTGTCTGTGTTGCAATAAGAGAGACTGCCTACGGGCTCACTATAGAAGTTTTCTTCTCTCCCTCAGTCTGTCTGTGTTTCTCTCTGTCTAATGAAGTGAAACATGAAAACGTCTAAAGTTGTTTGCAGTTTATCAGCAGCACTAAAAACCCAAGTGAAACGAGGACGATGAGAGCCCCAACCTCTGAGGCTCATCATAAAGCCCGAATACATTAATTCGTGAAAACTACACTCGGCACTTTTTTTTTAGAGGTAAGAAGTGGATTTATTCATAGAGAAACACACTGCAGAGTATGGGCCATGGCCGAGGGTGAATGCCCACGTGGCACTTCTTGATATTGGTGGTTGCTATCATGCCCCCTCTACAGATGGGCAAACTGAGGCTCAGCACGGCAGTCTCAGCGTGCTTCCTCGATTTGGACGCAGGAGGCTCCGAGAGGGAAGGCACACAGCCTTGCTGCAGGAGAGGGGCCCCTGTGGGTGGGCAGCAGAGAGCACAGGAAACAGAGCCCTGCCCCCGATTCCCCCTCAACCGCTTCCAGCTACCGCCTCAGGTCGTTAACAGGAGGCCCTTGTTCACGCCACTGACGGCAGGAGGCCGAGGGTGGGGTGTGTTTACCCACTGGCCATCTGGCCGGCAGAGGCCCAGAGCTGCACGGGCCCGTGTGGGAGGGAGGCTACCAGGCAGGGGGGAGCCCCAGCCCCAAAGCGGGAGGACTGCCTACCATAGGTGCCCCAAAATGCTTCACAAACAATGGGATGAAATTCCAGAACTTCATCCACTGCCCAAGCAGATGGGACGATGGTGGTCTGAGCCTCTGCGCCTGGCGGTAGGTGACCTTGGAGGTGGACAAGTGCATACCAGCTGCGGCAGGAGCCCCGGAGTCAGGGAGACCACTCTGCCAGGGAATGTTAGTGTTGAGACCTGAACAGGTGAGCGGGTTCCAGATGGTGAGGAGTATCCAGGGCCGAGAGTATAGCAAGGATGAAGGCCGCCAGCGGGGCGGGGCGCGGGGTGGGCGGGATGTGCCTGATGCCTAGGAGATTCAGCAAGAAGGCAGCTGTGGCTGGAGCAGAGGGTCAAGGGGATGATGGAGGGGAGAAGGCTGGACCACAGTGATGTGGTGATGGGAGCCCTGAGCCATGTCTGGGCTCCGTGGACCTCTCCAGCCCCATCTCTTTCTGCCCTCCAGGCCCGGCCTTGGGCAGTGACTGCTCCTGAGTGCAGTTTCCCCTTTAAGAGCACGCACTCCTCCTTGTCCCACCTGGGTTAGTCGCTCCTCTGGCCTCCAAAGGGCTTCAAGTGCCCTCCCTCATAGCACTTACCGTGTTACAGGGACATGGATGGATGAGATGGCTATGTGACTGCATCCTCCGCTGAGCCTCCACTGAGTCCCACTGTGTCTCCTGCATTGTGAATGTATTAGAATGAATCAATGATGGAGGGATGGTGGATGGGTGGATAAAGGATGGATGGATGGACAGATGAGATGAATAGATGAATGGATGGACATGTGGATGGATAAGCAGGTGGATGGCTGGGTGGATAGATGGATAGATGATGGATGGGCGAATGGATGGATAGACAAATGGGTGGTTGGATAGATAACTTGACTGGCTGGATCAGGGGATGGGTGGATGGATAGACAGTCAGATGAGATGGATAGATGAATGGATGGACATGTGGATGGATAAGTAGGTGGATGACTGGTGAATAGATAGATAGATGATGGATGGATGAATGGATGGGGTGGCTACCTAGGTGGATGTATAGGCAGGCAGATGGGTGGACAGAGGGATAGATGGGTAGGTGGCTAGGTGGATGGATGTTTCATAGACTAATGGGAGGATGGATGGATGGATGGATGGATGGATGGATGGACAGACACCCCTCCTTGGAGCCTCTTGAGCTTTGTGACAACGCCATTCAGAGGTCGCTGTGGGAAGTCAATCCAAAAGAGAAGGTGAAACACATAGCAGATGCCCCTGTCCGTTCTCCGTCTCCCTCACCTTCTACATGAGACAAAGAAAAGTAAACGGGCATGGCCCACTCTAGCCACGCTGACTTTCTCCCTCTGAACTTCCTACTCCCAGCTCTCTCTGTACCGCAGGACTTCCGCTGTGCCCTCCACCTGGAGCACTCTTCCTTCTGCTCGTCACCTGCCTGACCCTTCCTTACCCTAACTTAAAGGGTACTCCCTCAGGCCAGACCAGGCTGGCTGGCCTGTGTGTCCCTATTCCCGCCCCACAGAGGGGGACTGAGAGTTCAGTCAAACCCTCCTGCGCGTGTGTGCATGCATGTTCAGTTCTATCCAACTGTTTGCGACCCCGTGGACTGTAGCCCGCCAGGCTTCTCTGTCCTTGGGATTCTCCAGGCAAGAATACTGGAGCGGGTTGCCATGCCCTCCTCCAGGGGGGTCTTCCTGACCAAGGGATTGAACCGTGTCTCTTGCATCTCCTGGTCGCAGGTGGATTCTTTTCCCACTGAACCACCTGGGAAGCCCCAGACCCTCCCGGGAATGGCCAAACCACAGCAACTCTTGGGGTAACCTTTGAGAAGTGCATGGAGCCCTCTGGAAAAGGGGTGATGCCGCTGTTGCTGCTGGCCCACAGGGCGCTGGGAAAGGGGTCTCCTGAACACCCACTCCATGAGTTTTCCTGACTGTTTCCTGCTGAGTTGAATGACTTACTCTTTTCTAAAGACAGGAAGTTCCCGTGAATCCAGGCATCCCAGGACCACAGAACAGGACGTACAGAACAGGGGGTCACAGAACCAAGGTCACAGCGCTGCGTCACGGCACTGTGAGTTAATGGAACCGTGGAACCGCAGCATGCTCCAGCCGTGGCACTGTGGGATCCTAGGGCCACGGGACCACAGTGCCAGAAGCCCACAGACTCAGGGGATGTGGCCACTATCAACAGGAGCTCAGAACCGTGGGATGGCAGAAGCCACAGAATCCTAGGGGGCCTGAGACACAGCACCCAGAAATCCCACTTGGGAGGTGCCATAAGATGGAGTCTCAGAACTGAGCCCATCAGAAACACCGTCTCAGCTCCACCTTCACCTGTTGGCTGGCCAGCGAGTCTCTCAGAGGCCACGGGAGCTCGGAGGCACTCTCTCTCCATCCCTGGGGCAGCCACCGGAGAGAAGGACCATGCTGTCATCAAGGCCTGGAGCCAGCCAGCCGCCAAACACTCAGCGAGTCCCCTGTTGCCAGGGCCAAGTGAGGCTGTCCGGGTGCCGAGAAACAGTGCCAGCCTCCGGCCAGGCGCGCCGGGACGCCGAGTGCTCAGCAGCAAGTGGAAAAAGAATCAACGGGTTCCTTCTACATCCACATCCTCTTAAAAGCCAACAGAAACATGACTCGGAGGGGAGGTTGTACCCTGGCTGCATTGCCTCCGGATGGCGGCAACGGGAAGCAGCCCCCCAGCACTGCCTCCGCCCACGCCAGGAGTCACAGCCCGGCTCAGGTTGCACCAGACACATCCGCGTACTAATGAACTCTCCAGGGACTGTTCACCCAGCAGACCTGACACCTGATGCTCAGAATAACCAATCTGTTTTGGAGAGGGGAGACTGAGGCCCAGAAGTGAAGACTCCTGGCCCAGATCACGAGGGTGAGAGCTGAGACCCAAACCCAAGCATGATGGATGCTAAGAGTGAGCTTGCCACCACCCAAACGGGCTTGCTCTCGGGCTTCCCCAGCCCCATCCTGTTTCTAAATGTGATCCAGCATGGAAGGTGGGAGGCTGGGCTTCGGCAATTCCTTCCCTTTGCCGAACCCAGATCCTCTTGTTCACGGGGCTGCCATGGGGACGAAACATGATCGTGGTGAGTGCTCACTGGAACCTGGTATTGCTGTCATGAAAGGACTTTCCCTTATGCCATAAGATGGAGTCTCAGAACTGAGCCCATCAGAAACACCGTCTCAGCTCCACCTTCACCTGTTGGCTGGCCAGCGAGTCTCTCAGAGGCCACGGGAGCTCGGAGGCACTCTCTCTCCATCCCTGGGGCAGCCACCGGAGAGAAGGACCATGCTGTCATCAAGGCCTGGAGCCAGCCAGCCGCCAAACACTCAGCGAGTCCCCTGTTGCCAGGGCCAAGTGAGGCTGTCCGGGTGCCGAGAAACAGTGCCAGCCTCCGGCCAGGCGCGCCGGGACGCCGAGTGCTCAGCAGCAAGTGGAAAAAGAATCAACGGGTTCCTTCTACATCCACATCCTCTTAAAAGCCAACAGAAACATGACTCGGAGGGGAGGTTGTACCCTGGCTGCATTGCCTCCGGATGGCGGCAACGGGAAGCAGCCCCCCAGCACTGCCTCCGCCCACGCCAGGAGTCACAGCCCAGCTCAGGTTGCACCAGACACATCCGCGTACTAATGAACTCTCCAGGGACTGTTCACCCAGCAGACCTGACACCTGATGCTCAGAATAACCAATCTGTTTTGGAGAGGGGAGACTGAGGCCCAGAAGTGAAGACTCCTGGCCCAGATCACGAGGGTGAGAGCTGAGACCCAAACCCAAGCATGATGGATGCTAAGAGTGAGCTTGCCACCACCCAAACGGGCTTGCTCTCGGACTTCCCCAGCCCCATCCTGTTTCTAAATGTGATCCAGCATGGAAGGTGGGAGGCTGGGCTTCGGCAATTCCTTCCCTTTGCCGAACCCAGATCCTCTTGTTCACGGGGCTGCCATGGGGACGAAACATGATCGTGGTGAGTGCTCACTGGAACCTGGTATTGCTGTCATGAAAGGACTTTCCCTTCCTTACATCTTACAGATGGGGAAGCAAAGGGCCAGGGAGGGGATTCCAGCCCTCCTGAGGCCCCTGGCACCTGCAGGGAGGGCAGCTCTCATCATGATGGGGACACGGGTATGAACAAAAGCAGCTGATTTTCCAAAACACCAAGTTACAGGGGGAGAAAGCTCATCCCTTGCTGCCTTACCTTAGCATCAGGGTTACCTTCAGGTATGGCTGGATCCAGAACCCCAAATGATGCCTTCAAGATCTGTATCTGTCAGCTGTCTTCCTCCTCAAAGAATTGTGATAAAATACATATGACATAAAGGTATCATTTCAACAAATTTTAAAGCGTACAATTCAGTAGATTTTAGTACTCTTGTGATTTCAGGCAATCATCAGCTCTGTGTAGTTCCAGAACATTTTCATCTTCTCCCCAAAGGAACACCCGCCCCCAGTACCAGTCACTCCTGCTCCCCCTGCCCCCAGCCCCCAGCAGCCAATACTCTGCTTGCTCTCTCTGTGGACTTGCCTGTTCTAGACATTTCATATAAACTGAATCACACAACATGTGTCCTTTGTGTCTGGCTTCTCTCACTCAGCCTGTCTTCAGGGTTCATCCCCGTTGTAGCGTGTATCAGTTTCATTCCTTATTATGCCAGAATAGCATTCCATTGGATGCACAGACCACATTGTTTATCCATTTACCAGGTGATGGACATTTGGGTGATTTCCACCTTTTAGCTATTGTGAATAAAGAACCCTGTGAACGTGTGTGTGCAAGTTTTTGTTTGAACACCTGTTTTCAATTCTCTTGGGTGTATACCTGTGAGTGAAACTGCTGGATCTTATGATTGTCTGATGAACTGTATTTCACTTTCTGGGGAGCCACCACATTGTTTTCCACAGCGGCTGCAATACTTGACACTCCCACCAGCAAAGCACAAGGGTTTCAGTTTCTCCGCATTCTTGCCAACACCTGGTTTTTAGATTTTTTTGATTACGGTCATGCTAGTGGGTGTGAGGTGATGTCTCCTTGTGGTTCTGATTTGCGTCTCCCTCATCAGCCTTCTTCCTGCTTCTTGGAGTGGTAAAGATGGGTCAGGCTTCAGTGTCTCCATCCCCACGATCCAGCAGAAACAGAACACATTTCTCCCACGAGGCCCAGCAGAGATCTTAGGACTGAAGCTTGTTGGCCCAGTTCAGGCTCCCGTCTGTGGATGCAAGGCTTTGATCGGACAGGCCAGAGACTGAAGTCACCCTCTCGAGGTGGGGGAAAGGGGTCAGCCCCTCCTGGACGCCACCAGAGGCGAGCAGTGGAGACTGGACCCCCCCACCTGCCTCCTGCCTTAGTGGCCATTCTGGGATTACAGGCTGTCGGATGCCTTCTGTAAGGGAGGTGACCCTGGTACTGTGCCAAGCCTCCATCCTCTGCCTCCATTTCCAAACGCTGTGTTCAAAGCGCCTCTTGTTACCTCTTGCTTGTGGGGAGGGTAACAGTCCCAGCTCTGACCCAGGCTTCCCTGGAGCCCTGCCACTGGGGGCAGCTCCAGGCCCTTCCTTCCTCTGCTGGCCTCTTGACCTCCCCTGGGTACCAGGCAACCCTGAACATCACAAGGAAACAGGCTTTGCCTGGAACAGCTGCCGCCACCGGTCTATTATTTCCTAATAGCTGGCGGGTAGCGGAGGACCCCACGCTCACTGACTTCTCCCATCACTCATGCCAAGGCTGCTCGCCTGAGGTTTGTCTGCCTCACTCCCCCAGCCCCACTTCAAGCCCTGAGGTGTTGAAAGGGGGGGCAATACAGAATTACAAGGAATCATAGCGGAGGACCCCACGCTCACTGACTTCTCCCATCACTCATGCCAAGGCTGCTCGCCTGAGGTTTGTCTGCCTCACTCCCCCAGCCCCACTTCAAGCCCTGAGGTGTTGAAAGGGGGGGAGCAATATAGAATTACAAGGAATCATGAAGATCGGGGCTGCGACCATGATCCAGAGCGGAAAAAAGAAGGCGGCAGGGAACAAACGGAAGCCCAGAGAGGGCAAGACATCTGCTCAGGGCCACACAGGAAAGGAGAAGCAGATCTGATTTAGTCATCACCTTTTTTTCTCAACCAGAGGATAATTGCCTTACAATGCTGTGTTGGTTTCTGCCACACTGCAGCTTGCATCAGTCATAACTATATATGGCCTTTTTGTCTTCAGGCTCCCTTCCACCACCCCCATCCCACCCCTCTTTTTTAAAAATTATGTTTTATTGTAGTAAAAATATATAACATGGACTTTCCTGGTGGGCCAGTGGTTAGGCATCTGCCTGCCAATGCAGGGTAGGTGGGTTTGATCCCTGGTCTGGAAAGATTCCACGTGCCATGGGGCAGCTACACCTCCAGGCTGCAACGATGGAGCCTTCTTGCCCCAACTACAGAAGCCCACGTGTTTTCTAGGGCCCACGTGCCGCAACTACTGAGCCCACGTGCTCCAGCTACTGACGTCTGCGCCCCAGAGCCCAGCAAGAGAGGCCACTGCAACGAGAAGCCCACGCGCCACGACTGGAGAGTAATCCCAGCTCGCCACAACTAGAGAAAACCCACGCACGACCACGAAGACCAACACGGCTAAAAATAACAATTAAAAAAAAAACCACATAACATAAAACTTTCCATTATAATCAGTGTATAGTTCACGGGCATGAAATGTGTCCACGTGGTTGGGCAACCATCCCTGCCATCCATTTCCAGAACACTTTCAGCTTGAAAACCTGAAACCCCGTTAAGTAACTCCCCATCCCTCCCCTGCCCCTGCCTCTTGTCTCCACTTCTTTTTTTTTAATTATTTTATTTATTTTATTTATTTTTGGCAGTGCTGGGTCTTTGTTGCTGAGACGGCCTGCCTTCCTCCAGCTGGGGTACAGTGGGAGCTACCCTCTAGTTGCATCGCACGGACTCCTCGGCGCGGCGGCTTCTCTTGCTGAGGCTCCTGGGCTCTGGAGTTGTGGCATACCGACTTAGTTGCTCTGTGACATGTGGGATCTTTCGGGACCAGGAATTGAGTCTGTGTCTCTTGCATTGGGGGGTGGATTCTTTACCACTGAGCCACCAGGGACGCCCTTGTCCCCACTTCTTAAGCCACACTTGAACCCCTTCCTCCTAGCAACTGGGATCAGAAGACTGGAAAGTGATTCAACCTGGTTCTCACCCCACCTGATTTTAAGCCGCTGACTTGTGCCCCTGTTCTGGAAGGTTTAGGGCTGCTGGGGTTTTTGTCTGCGGGATGCCAAGCTGGGTCATGAATGGTCTGACCTGAAGAAGTTGTCATGAGGATAATGCTGACTCCCTGAGGTGGGGGCTGTTGTTCTCCTCGTTGTAGAGACAGAAAACTGAGGCGCAGGCACGTGACAGCCCATGTCTAGCGAATCTCCAACCCCGCCCCATGGGCCTGGGAGGGCCTCTGGACAGGGTTGGCCTTGGCTTGTCTGAGGGGTTGGTCCCCAATGCGTGGTCCTGGGCTGGACACACAACTGGTGCTTCAGGAGACCTTGCAAGTACAGAGCAATGCCTTCTTTTCCGATGGGAAACTGAGTCACCTTTCATAGCCAGAGAAATGCTGGGACCTAGCATTTGCCCTCCTGACCCCTGTCACCACTCCTAAACAGGCCATTGGGCGGGTCTCAGTTCTGTGGGTTGGCGGGGGGCCTGCGACTTGTTTTTCCACCAGGCGCTTAGGTTGACACCAGGAGGGGTGAGGGCTCAGCGCTCGTGATTATTTTTTTAACCTTTGCAGTTGCAGCCAGAGACACCAAGCTGAAATGGTCTTGCCCCCCACAGCTGGCCGGGCCATGGCCCGTGATGCCACACAGAGGCCTGACCTGCTGGAGGCCTGGACGCTGGGCCTCCCGAGACCGCACGGTCTTGGGGCTGCCTCCAACTCCACGTCTGGATTTCTCGACTCGGTCCCGGTTTCCAGCTGGAACAAAAGGCTCCGCATGGAGAAATCTTGAGCCCTGCCTGCTTGCACAAAGCCTGGGGGTTTAGGGCTGGGCCCGCGCCCCTGCCTGCCTCTCCCAGGTGGAGCCGCTCGAGGCCTGATGTCAAAGGCCACTCTTGGCCCACCAGGCCCACGGCTCTACCTGGAGCCTGA